CTCAGTGTGATTTCCTATGTTTTATTCCAGCAAGCCATGGAGCCAAGTTTGAATTTTAACATATCGAAAATGGCCTATGATTCACAACATGGTTTGTTCATGAATATAATTACTGAAGTACCTCAACTTAACACCTACTGTATGTATCCTTGCCACATATGTATAACTTGTGTATAGATCTTCTAAAGATATGTAATATAGGTTATTACCAGTTCGGTCTTCTATGTGTAAATCTTTCTTATTAAACTGTAGGCAAAACATGACCCTCGCATAAGTATGCATTGACTTTGTGATCTGTATGTCCCCCTTATTTTATTAGTAAGGTATATTTTCAAGTATAATTGAACTCTGAGGTCCAGTTGTGTAAAGGGTGGAAAATGCCATTCAACAGATAGATATCTCTCCGGCATACTGTGTTGTCCATTGGATAGAGATTTATCCATTGGATAATAATATTCATTGTTTTGAATAAGTGAGGCTGGGAAGTTCGGAAAATTAGTGAAAGATTTGAAAGAAAGTATAAACCACATAAGTGAATGGTGCTTTTCGCATGCACTGATAAGCCAGTTTGGAAGTGAATGACAGACTAAAATTCACCAAGTAGCCAATAAGACAAAGTTTCATGTTAATAGTTAAATTTTAGACCATTTTTTGATATTATGAAAGCATGAAAAATTTTTTGGTAAATGTGTGGTATTTACTAAAACAATTACTCACCTTGGTGTTGGTGAAAGTGGTGGATATTTACCTCCTCTTTAGTAAATAATTGTTAGCTATATTTCTGTTGTCAGTTGACGGGTTACCGGTATACTGTCACTATATGATTGTAAGCCAAGTCTTAGCAAAGATGTTTACTGACTGCAGTACAGCCTGTACTGCACCATGCTAAGCAGTCACCCTTTCTTGAGCAGTCAGTTTTCAAAGTCCTGTCCCCTTAACTATCGTAATTTTCACCTCTACAAAGTGGTCATGGTCATCTTAAACACAATCCCAACAGCCTGTTTGTAGTGTCCTTTGCATGTTTTGAATGGTCACTTGGAGTGAAATTACTCAAAACCTAAGAGTTGTATTTCCTTAAAAATCTAATCCATGTTTATCTCCCAAACTCGTGTTTGTGGTATTTTTGCCCAAGTTTTGTACATTACGTGGTCAATTATGGTGTTAAATTGTTTATTTGTTTATTTATTTTTTTAATGATACCCTTATTCTGTGGAACCTCCATTATTGGTAAGCAGTCACCCTGCAATTTCTCATAGGTGGCTGCTTAATACAGGTCTGACTGTATAAGAACTGGGAAACATCAGATAGCTATCGAGCAACCATCAGTGAACAGAAGATCAAATATTTATAAATTGTCAACCAAATATTAAGTCAGTTAACTTTTGGTGGACTTTTCCATCAGCTGTTGAATGATATAGCAACCAAGGCTATGTGTAGCTTATACACATGATCAGATGCTAATAACCATAGGCCTACTCTGATAAGAAGAGCCCTAGCATTAATAGGAAATTAGAACATGGTGATCAAATATTCTTTTCTTGCAGTGACTGTGGAAACTTTACCTATTAAGTCTTACAATCCTAAGAGGTCTGATAGAATTTTGGTATCAATTTGATTGTTTACCATTTTCATACCCAGAGATTCTTTTATTTACTTTGATTTTTACAAACTTTCAAACAAAAAACTTATTTGACCATAAACATTGTTCCCTAGCAAACAGATCTTTAAGCTTACTTTGAATTAGCCTCAAGAGAGCAGCCTGGAAGAAAATTAGAGTACACCATTGAAGATTGCACTTAATATGCACAGAAATCTTGCATCACCACATCAACTCTCAATTATTTTGAGGGCTTTTTCATACAGAGCCATGTTCACTTCAACATTTGCAATTCAGTGGGTTTTGTTTGTTAATTGTGCGATTGATGTGATGTTAAAACAGAACTTGATGTCAATAGCGATCATTAGTGTGGAGATAAAGTTGTTTTGCGGATCAGCTTACTGCAGCTTTTAAGACCAAATTGTCATATTTGTTTCAGTGAGACAAAGCAATAAGCACTACTAAAAGTCAACTTCAAATTCTCAGAAGAGATCATTGGTCACAGCAAATTTGATCTTTTAAATTTTTGGCAGACTGAGTGGATAATCCCAGAAACGATTAAGATTGTGCCACCGCCCAACCAGAAGTTGATAATCTGGCATTCTTAAACCTAAGAGACTTGATTAATCCTTTTTGTCTTATATTCCGTGGTGAGGGAACTTCAAGATCCTAATTTTTTTTTTGTCAATGATGCTGATCAGCATGCTACAGATAAAAAACAGTCATTGGAACACAGCAATCACAGCATTGATCTTTTTTCAAGTAATGTGTAACTTTGTTGTCAGATTAGACCCTTTGGAATGAATTCCCAGGGAAGAAGACAGCTGTGAATACTTTGAACTTTTTGAGATTTCAAGACAAATCCCTTTAAACCATGAAATTTTGAGACAGTACTTCCCATTACTTAGAACAGATTTCCTGTTGCTAGACAATCAAATGTACTATTTTTAGATAGAACATAATGCTATGGAGAAATGTAAATATTTTATTGTACATGAATATAATTTTATAGGAAAAATATAAAAGGCAAAAACTGGTTTAGTAAATATTTGTGGTATATGTTGACTTTCAATTGCTTCATCTCACGTCTGGCTTTAGTTCAGTGAATCAGATACCCAAACAGGAAACTATCACTGGGTTCTGTAACCTGTGAGCAGCTCTCCCTTCTCTTCCTCCTCCTCATGGAGAAAATACAGAAAGATACTTGAATACGTCAAATACTTTGCAAGTGTAAGCAATGGCCACTTCGTCTGTCCCTTGTTTCTTTTTTTTTGGGGGGGGGAGGGGTGGGGGGAAAGGGAGGGTAGGGAAGGGAGTGGTCAGATGTCATGACCATGCCATCCCCTCTGCCTTCTAATCTCTGTTTCCGTCCTGTTGTTCTCAACCAATAATTCGGCTGCTCATCTCACCCATTCATTCATAACAAAAATTTCCCATTTCTCCATGAATCCATCCCACTTCTGGATTTTTCCATTTTCCCATTTTCCCTGTCACCATTTCCTCGTCTCCCTATTTTTCTTTTTCTCGGTTTCTTAGTTTCTCCGTTTCCCCTTTCCCATAATTTCCATCACCTTGTTATCCCGTTCCTCTCTTCTCTTCTTTCCATTTTCCATTTTACCATTTCCTGTGCAAACGTTTTGCAAGACTCCGTCCCTTTTCTTCTTTCACCACAAAATTTCTATGTCCCAATGTCACTGTTTATCCATTTCTTTACTTTCCCTTTTCACCGCTCATATGTATTTCCTGCGTACTTCGTGCCCGGGCCAGTGGCGGAATGGAAAAGCGAGGGAGGATTGGGACCTCCGCGATCTGACGCAAATCTCCCTCGTTTTCTCTCTTTTTTTCGAACTCTTCCGCAACTATCACACCGTTTTCAATCACGCTTCGTTTTGCATGGTAAACGCCTGGAACAGGCTTATACATATCAATAGGAGAAATAAGGGAAACAAGTGATCACGTGACCAAGTGCCTGGCATTGCCAAATATGGCAAAAAAAACAAACTTTTTTTTTTTTCAAAGTTTCTTTTTCTCTGTCTTCTTCCTGTCCTTCTTGTTCCTTTTTTAATACCAGTGTTGCTAAAAAAAAAAATGCTGCCTCGAGATTATGAAAAAAACAATTCCAGTTCTGATCATTACGCACAGAATGCTGAAGTTAAGGATGATTTGGTCCGCTAGTCATTCAACTCGTTTGGTATATCCTAAAGTAGGGGCATGACGAAAGCGCTTATTAACCTCACTGTCAGTCAACATGGCAGATATTTACCTTCTCTCCAGTGAGAAATTGCACAACGAAAGTCTCTGCGCAACTATGAAAACTTGGCCTGAACAGTGTCAAAATTACCCGCAAAAAACTAAATATGACCAGAATTTCCTTAAAAGGAAGAATGATTGTAAACTTTGAAGGGACTCAAAACATCGAAAACATCATCAATTAATAATAATTTTTTCGCGAGTCTAAATTTGGTCTTTCGTCTTCCTGGAGCTATTCGGCAACATGACGTCTACAACTGCTCAGAAAAGCAGAATCAACTAGAATTCTTCACATTGTTAGTTGCATACTTTCTTGAGAATAAAATGCGTATTGGATTATGAGAATTAAACTTCAGATCAGGACACCCACTTTATTCACATTGAAGCCAATCCTATTTGGGTTCGGCTAGCAGTTTTCTTTATTTGTGCTATTTCCACCATCACACCCTTCCGGAAATCCGAGTATTATTTTGTTTTCGTATAATACTATCATTTCTTAGTGATCCGCTTTTTGTATGATCGATAAGGATTGCTCTTTGCATACATCACAAAAAAATCCCTAATTGTCTTAAATTTTTGCGATAGAAACAATTAAAGTTATGCTTCCACAAACTAAAAGTCGCTCAAAGAAGTTCCTGAACTCCATGGAAACTGTTTTCAAAGCCTTTGTTTGTTTTCCTTTGAAGCGATAATTTGTATCTAGTAAATGTTTTAGGGCTTCCTATGGGGCCAATATTGTCTTGGTTCATTAAAACAAAAAAAAAATTGTCAGAAGTTAACAACGTTTACGTCATTCATTTTTCAAAGCACACGTTTTGTTGTTTTTGTTTTCTTTCCATCACAATGTTATTTTGCATATAAAGGGACTCGGAAATAGTAATTCTGTCATTGGTGTTTTGGGCTTGCTGCCAGAAGTGTGAAAGACGCTTTTACAAGTTGAGAGGCTAACCAGCTTGTGAAAATTTTAAACGTCGAAAAAGGTTTGCTAACTTTATTTTGCTTTATTGTGCGTTGGAAAATTGTCAGTATACTGGAGTGAAAATTCAAGAGCTAAATATATGGTATGGTAGATTAAGATAATTTGGCTTTCCTACAAGATGGAAACACCATCGCATGAAACACGAAGTTTTGAACGAAGGTGGAGTGTTAAAAATTCAAGGAATTGCTTCCCAGATAATCAACACTAAATATATCTTAGCTCCTCTCATGGGAAGTTTATTTTGCTGCTAACCACACTCGCATGACCCAAGAGACTCCAGCTGACAAAGGTACGTAACTTGAGCTCCAAATTAAATAAATATCGTATTATGCAAATATAATGCGAGCTTACTATTTCGCTTTCGTCAAACGATCTTGCGGTCGACTAATTCCTCATCTCTTTCAGCTAAAATGCCGAAGTGTCCCAAGTGCAACAAGGAAGTGTATTTTGGTAAGTGCACCCTTCTTTTCGTCATTACAGTAACATTTGGGAACGGTTTAGTTAGCTTCCCAATTTCGAGACGTACATGGGGATTAAAAATTCTTGACAAGGTCACCCATTCTGATCGAATTCATCGAAACTGTTTTGTCGTGCAGAAAAACTGATTCTCGATCGATTTGATTTCGTAGTTCCAGCTGGAGCTTCTAACACGAATGATCGAATCAACTGTAATCCCTGTTCGAAAGATTCTTGCAAATGCTTGCAACTTTGGAGAAATGTTCACTACACTCTGCATATTTAATTATTTTAGTTGGAGCGGGACCACCTTTTGGAAGCTTTCTAGCCGTTGGTATTCAGCAAATCGTAGAAATCTGCGGTGTTCATGGAGAAATTTAATTTGAATTTGTTATTATGTAAAGTTGGAGGGTTTGTTGAACCGGACTTTCGCGTTTTTGAGGTTACATGTTAGGATAGACTTTAAGCCATTGCAGCCTCAACGCCCTGATCGAAGGCCCCTCCGTTTTGCATATCACGCCTTTGGCGCTGACTTATTACACTAATTGGCCCCAGTAGGGCGTTCTTACAATCTAAAAAGCCTTTACTCAAACGGGTGAATAAAAAGTGATATTAGAGATATGCAATCCATCCTCTGAATAATATTAAAATAACGAAATTCGATGATTGAATTGTATATGGGAACCAGTAACACGATAATTTGAACTCCGTCTACGAGGTCTTCGAATTAATTGCAATGATACTTCTCTAAGTACTGAATTTAGGGATACTGGACCATCGATACTAGACACTCCTCTGAGCAGTGGACCGGCAAATGACAATAATTCGTTTGTCTGTGTTTCAGCTGAGAAGGTGACTTCTCTCGGCAAAGATTGGCACAGGCCTTGCTTGAGATGTGAAAAATGCAATAAGACTCTGAGTTCTGGTGGTCATGCCGAGGTAAGAGTTTTTCCTTTTAAACTTGTCGGAGAGTTGTTTTTCGAGATTCTCTTGTAGTCAGAATTAGTCTCTATGGTATTCAGAGAATTCCTAACAGGAAATTTATATTATTAGCGTCTGTTCAGGGACTATCATTAAGACAAATAGAAAATGCTAGAAGCTATGTTATCTGTCTCATTAAATTGATAGCCGCGCATTGTTTACAGCGAACGGATGACGAGCTCTGTCTGGTATAAAAAATTGTGTTAATAATCGCTGTGCGCCACCACGCGAGACCCTGTCCCCATGTGCATTCTTTTCATAAAGACGCGCGGCACGGAAGGATGAGAGGAAAGAGAAAGAAGTAACGCTTTCTCCGTTCCCAAAAAACCTAGCGTTCCCTCGCTCGACGTGTTATCAAGACGATTGGGAACTAGTCTGCCCGAAAGCCGATTAGAGTGTGCAGGAGTACCTTGAGACGTAAGGTCTGAAGTTGATTTTGACAAAAGTTGTGCGAAAAAATTGTGCGGGGTCCTCGTTGCTCAGGTGCTACAACGCAGTTGTTCGTGGCCTGCACAGGTAGCGGTTCTCTTGGTGTTCGATGAAAATAAAGGCGTTGGAGCCGCGAAAATAAGGGGAAAAACCTTCCGCCCCAAGCCCCACCCGTTTTGTCCAGGTCTGCTTCTCGACACTTAAAGCGCACTCAAAAACCGCTAGCTATGCCGGCTAAGGTGACCGCTAAATCAAAGCCTCAGTAGCGCATAATAGCCCCTAAATCCTGGATTGTATTGTTAATATGACTATATTTTTTTAAAATTTTCCAGCACAAGGGTAAGCCGTATTGCAATAAGCCATGCTACTCTGCTTTGTTTGGCCCAGGAGGTTTTGGCCACGGTGGAACAGAGTCACATAAATACTGACTTCACCACGCACTACAAGTGAGAGTCACTCTGTTGCTTACTGTATCCGCACACGCCAAGCTCTCGTTTGAGCAAGCGGCGAACGAAGCGAGCGCGGGAGAGTTTTGCGAAAGGTCTGGAACGAGAAATCCTCACGTTTTGAACCCTCGCAGATCCTGCACAGAGCACTCGCGCACTTCCATAGCTCGCGGGCTCAAAACTCGCAGGCTTTCCTCGTTCGCTCGTTTCGCTGTGCCAATGGATGCCTGGGAGCCTAATACGCGCCACGCACTGATGGAAAGAAAATGTAGGTATATAATTTGACACTCCTATCAACAAAGTGCTTTTCGATTGATCGTCATTAAACTGTATTCGACATAATCCACCAGAGTAAATAATAACAACAATTCGAAGATTGCAAAGAGCCAGTGGAAGCTCAAATGATGTTAAAAAACAGATCACCTATTACTTTCTGACGTCCAGACACACATCAACACACACCGCTCGCGTGCAAGCTTGCATATCCCCAATTGGAGCTCACAATCCTTTTTTTTTTTTTTTTTTTTTTTTTTTTTTTTTTTTTTTTTTTTTTTTTTTTTTTGGGGGGGGAGGGGGGATGGGACAGAAATATCCCAGCCCTGGCTACACCCTCCTACAAAAAGAAGCATTCCCCTCTTCCTACTATGTTTTCCAGGCAAACACGTGGGGAAAGTCTTGCGTTCGTTCTCGGTCATCAAAAAAAAAAAAACTGCAAAAAATGAATGTAAATAAACAAATTAACGTCTATCCCACTTGCTGCAGAAGAGATGATGGGAGATAACCGTGTACCTTAAAACATGACAGTGAGCATATTTTTGAATCTCTAATCCCTAGGTTCAGTTCAGACATGACTGACGCTGACCGCACCCAAGGCATCATTAGGACGATGACATGTTTTGTCTTTTGTAGCTCTTGCCAGTAATCCTAAATAAAGACGAATGTATTTTGTCACTTGTTGGTTTATTTGTTTGTATGTACTTTTTGACATCGGTTTTTGCTCTCTCGCAAACGGCAAGTAATGTATTTCTCAAGATTTAGTACAGTTACCTTCTCAATATTATCAGGAGGGCTCCTTGCCTTTAGTCCGAACATGAATTGGCTTTTTTTCCCTTCAAACTCCAGTAGATATTTATTATGGAATAAGGAAGATTTTCGAAAGGTTTCACATTCCCAGCGACTGCAACTGAAAAAAAATACGTTGCGTGAAGAACAAAAATAATCATAACAGTCTCCCAATCGACCCTACAACCTTTTCTGTAGACTTTCATTTGAAGTTACCTTCATCTCATGCTCCCTTATGATCATGGGAAATTTACTGTATCCCTTACCTCTCGTCTGTTGACCGTAATTGTTATTATTTAATTATTGACGTAGTAATTTGCGGCCGATTTGTCTCATTCTTGTGCGTCTCTGTTTACTGCATTTCCCCCGAAATGTCAAAGTGTCCGACTTGTAACAAAGAAGTGTTCTTTGGTAAGTAAAAACTGCCTTAGAGGGGTTTATTTAAATCAACACCGCTCACATGAAAACTACACGCGCGCTGTTCAAATTTCGGTCAACGTGATATTTGTATTTTCAGTATCTGTTTTGTCCTTTTTGCTTTCTACGCGTTGAATTTCATCAGTTTTGATTCATGGACTCTTAACTTGACGTTGTTAGTAGAAAATTATCAATAAAATCTTGTTCAGTATCTGAGGTAATGGCCTAACAAATATTTACAGATTTGGAAAATGCGTTGGCTTACGCAGGTCGGGAGATTAATTCATTCGCAGTCTTCGTACACGAATAATTTTATTTCGGTATTGTTGCTTATTTCTAGCTACTCAGTATATAGGTCAAAGCCTCATTATAGGACGACAAGATTAACAGTTAATTGTCAAACAAACTCTTTTTATAGCGGAGATTGTTAAACTAATTAAAATAGTTGTCTGGGGTTAAAAAAGATCTTGACTTTATTGATTTATCTTTTTATCGCGAGTGAAACCCGTGTCTGATTAAAAACTCTCTCGTTTTTCTTCATTTCTAGCCGAAAAAGTGTTTTCTTTAGGAAAAGACTGGCACAGGGGCTGTTTAAAATGTACAAGATGCGGGAAAACGCTCACTTCAGGTGGCCATGCAGAGGTACATTGTCTGTTTCCTATCAACCTATCTTGTGCTGCGGTTTACCTTTTAAAGTTCGGAATCTGAAGAATTTGTCAAAAGTTAATCGAAACAGGGGGTAATTTATATGAAATCCATCATCTAATTATAATTATCAAATTCCCTCTTACACTCTTACAACATGCTAAGATAAACATTTATTTGTGAACTTTCTGGCTACCATTTGTAGTAAATTATTTTGAAATGCGCGGGGTTGAATACTTTGCACCTTTCAGTCAATCTGAAATTTGAATTTGCACTTTTCATGCAATTAAGCAGTAACTTTTAGTGGTTCTTTTATTCATCAATTGTCGTTTTGTGGTGACAAACGATTCAAAAGATTGACAGGTGCTGTCTATATGATTTATAGTACAAATGGAATAAATTAAGATTCTTAACCCTCTCTACATGCACAGGAGTTCTCTGAGTCAGAGTGAAATTAATTTTTCTGTGCTATAAAAATTCCTAAATCTGTTCAATTCATGACTGTTTTATATGTTTCGTTTTTGAAGTTGAATCCACAGATCTGAACAATAATAATTATGGTTTCTTACACAATATTCATGACCTCTTTCTCAAAGGTTTTCTTTTTTCATACTTTTTTTCCCACTTGGGCCTCCACCCTACCCTGAGGGGAATACCAATTCTGCTTCAAACTTTCCTTCCTTCCCTCAAAGTATTTTCTTCCTTTTTTTTCCTTTTAAACCTCTACCCTACCCTGAGGGAAATTTTAATTTTGCTTTATACTTTCCTTTTTTCTCTCTAAGGTTTTTTTTTCTTCCTTTTCTGCATTTGAACATCTTCTCTACCTTTAGGGAGATTCCAATTTAGCTTCCTATTTTACCTCAGAGTTTTTTTTCCACTTGAACCATCACCCTCCCCTGCTTCACACTCTCCTTCCTTCCTTCCAAGCTTTTTTTTTTCATTTGAACCTCAACCCTCTCTTTTGGGAATTCAACTTTTGCCTCTTCTTTTCCTTCAATTTTTTTTTTTTTTGCATTTGAACCTTCCCCCTAATGGAGGGAATTTCCAATTACACTTCACATTTTTTCATTTTCCCTAAAGGTTTATTTTCCCAGACCCCCAAACATCTTGGAATTACAAATGATCCTTCATGGAGAGGGTAGAGAACACATTCCAACCCATCCCCTTCTGCTTATAAATCACATTGCAATTTTTTGTCTCGTTTTCATCACTGAAATATGAATTGAATACAATAGATTGAATCCCTTTTTTTAAGCGCATGGTAGAAATCTAGGTCCCAAGTTGTGTGCACCACTTGATCAACTTTCCATTGCATGAAATGACTAGCCATAATACCACATACCCAGGATAGTTGGAAAGTCCTTTACAGACCCCCCATCCCTCCCCCACTCCTTGAAGTCCTGTACTTCACTGTGGTTGACCTGGCAGACCCAATTACCCTGCACCCCGTGTCTGCCATGCTAGGAACGCAACAACAATATCAACACAATATCAAACAGACAAGTGATAAGAATAAAGAAAAATATCAATTAGGGGATCATTGGTTGATTTAATACCAAATACTTGGAACTAATATTGTAGGAATTGTATAGCATCGGCAGTAAAAAGGGTTAAAGAACTCAACACAGTAATCACATATCAGAATACCAATGCAACCCTTTTTGATTCTAGAGTCCCATGACACTGTGTCACTGACAGTTTTGCTCAGATGATTGTTTTTTTTTGGTATTTGTAGAAGGATGGTAAACCATACTGCCATATCCCATGTTATAGTCACTTGTTCGGCCCCAAAGGGTATGGTCACGGTGGAACAGAATCACACTCATACAACTAAGGATGTCAAGTTATCATTCCTGAAGAGCATTTTGGTAGGTGAGATTTCAAGGCACATACACTTAACCCTTTAACTCTCAAAAGTGATTAACATAAAACTTCTCCCTACAATATCCATACATTATTTAGCAAACAGATAATGAGAATATTCAAACTTATCAGGTAGAAGCTGCTATCTTGATCTAGCAGCAAGTTCTCACAATTAATTTACAAGGAAATGAGTAGCAGCTAGAGGGGAGAATTAACAATCAGATCTTGGGAGTTAAAGGGTTAATTATCATATGACCCCCTATGGCCCTGCTGGTGCTTTGACTGAAAAACATTATCCACAAATTTGCCTTATGGGGGCTGTATTTGATAATGTAAACCTGCGAGCTTCAAGCTTAACCCTTTAACTCTCAGAAGTGATGAACCTGTAACTTCGTCCCTTAGTATTCATATGCTATCCAGCAAACGTGTGATTAGAATACTCAAACTTATCAGGTAGAAGTTATCATGATTTAATGCCTAATTCTTGTTACTAATTTACAGGGAAATATGCAGCAGCTAGAGGGGAGAATTAACTATTAGATCTTGGGAGTTAAAGGGTTAAAGAAGAAAGTGTAAAAAGATAGAATGATGGCAATATGATAACATGCTTCTTGACTGAGTTAACTTGGGAAGAACAGGAAAGTATTTGGCTCTTAAAGGTCATGACACTTATTTCTTTGCCCCAACTTTTTCGTCAGCCATGGTGACCAAATTGGTCACAGCTTAGAGTACTGGGAGATGTAAATCATGGTCTAAATAAAGGTTGACCTAATTGATAGGAAAGGGCTCCAAAGCATCTCAATTAATTAAGAAAGTGCAGGGGTTAATCCACAAAACCTAAAGACTGATATCTAATTTCTTCATACAGTATCTCCCCTAAATCAAATATTAAGGTCAGGAAAATAAAGAAAATGATCTCCAAAAGGAGGAGCTCTTGGTTATTTGACAAATTCTCTTGTCAGTACCATAGGAAATGTACAGAATATGAATCAGAATATGCATCCAGATGTAAGGGTGCTTAGGGTTAATGTTAGTGTCCATGGACCAGGTTTGAAAAAAAATATATGAGAGGCATGATTGTTGTTAGTTTTGGAGCTTTATGAATGTTTATGTTTGTTTTCCTTTTACAGGTTAGAGAGAGAGTACAGTTTGCGTTAAGATATATTTCCTTTATTAATCACCTTTGTTCACTTGTTGGAATGACACAAGAATAAAGGTTGACAATAAAGTAAAGTTTGTTTTGTGACAGAGTCAGTTATTTCACCGTAGGGTGGGGTTTGTTCGCCCGCGTGAGAGCAAAGCAAGCCGGCGAGAGGTTTCGAAGAATCAGGCGCCAATAATGAGGCCTCCAGCGATAAAATGCTAAAATATACCACGCGGTGTGTATACTAATCGGTTCCCCTGGAATAAATACAAAGCTGAAACCAATGGCGACTTGATCAAACGCGGGATTTCTCGCTTCTGGCAATTTTTTTTCCCTTTGTGTGAGCCATTGAGGGATTTTCAATCGGGCCAATCAAAAGTAATCCACGGATACTTTTGGTCTTGCTTCACTACGACCCATAACAAATCACGCCATTCTCTCAGCCAATGAAATGCATAGCTGAAACCAATCGCGACTTGTTCACCGGTGGGTTTTCCCGCGCTTCAATCAGTCTGCTTTTTTCTACTTTGAGTTCTCATTGGCTGGCTTCTTGTGATATTTTCCTTTATTCTGATTGGTCGCGCTCTGATGGGCTCCCTGTGACATTTTCTCTACCCCAGATCGGTCGTAGGGATTAGTTCGGTTTTGGCTTTAGTACATCCAATCGGAACACGCTCTGAAGTACATGTGGATGGTTTTGGTAGTCGTATGTAGACGGAAAAGATTAAGGTGCCTTATGAGATAGATATGAATTGAATGAAGATCTTTTGAGCTTTAAAACTAATCCAACCACTCTTCTCTAATCAATCTTATTAAGGCACTTCCTTGCTTTACGCTAACAGAGGCTAATACAAAGCTTATGTTAATCTCATCGAGTAGCATGGGAGTGGCTAAAACCTGACGGTAAGATCGAAGGATACTGTGGGATACTTTTATACCTTAATTTTTACCAACGAGATACCAATGTACCTATAAACTTTTTAAAAACGTCCTCAACAAATTCATGAAAATATTGTGCACCAAAAGTGAATATAAAGACCACGAATACCTGAAGAACTAAAACACTCGGCTTGCGAGCATTCCCTCTGTTATCGCTGCAGGACACTCGGGTTATCAGTCCCAGACCCCTTACATACCTCTCGCCAGCTCATGTTGTTCAAGGCCTTGTGCTGAACCGCCGATAATAAGAGCGTGCTCGCAGTCTATAAAACACCCGGCGGGGCTTGGTTTCAACACAATACACGTCAAACTGAGTATAACAAAGCACGCTTCAGTCAATCTTCTCTGCTGAATAATCGACTCCGCGTGAGGCCTTGGACAAATCAACTGTTCTATCGACAAAACAATTTTCTTTTGTGCTTTCATGCACACAGCTTACCCTATGGCGACATCTTCAGTGCTAGACTGTCATAATCTGTGTATCAACGTTTCAAATCAACATTTTCTTGTACTCAACCTCTAATAGTGTTTTTATTTTAGTTTCAACAACAGTTTGTACGATTTTTAATTCAGTTTTAAATTCTGAAACCTCAGAATACAGAAGGAAAATCTTGTGTTATTTTCGTATGTTAATTTTGAGAGAGCATAATGGCCATATGAGAACTCTTGAACATTACCAGATGTTCATGTAATATTTTTCATGAAAACTTGCGATCAATGATTCGGCCTCATTTTAAAAAGAAGTGTTTACTAAAATGCTCTTCTTTCCTCTCGTTTCGTGGAATTGAGAGAACTAGAAAAAAGAAGAGAAAACTGTGTCTACTGTTTGTTATTTTATATCGGCTGTACAAAAACTCGCAAAAAGTTCTTTTGTACTCTAGTATTCAACTTTACTTGTCCGTAAGGGGACCTCGGGCATGTAGACTACGAGCAACCCCCCTTTTCGGTAGTCGCGCGAGAAAAAAAAAACTCAGCAAAAAAGAAATTGATTTTAGTACTAAAATCGTTTTTTTAAGTTGAGTTTTCTTGACTGATTTCCCCAAAAAAGAAAGGACTGCTCGGAGTGTAATGGGCACGCTAAATTTAACATTTTTCTCGGAACAAGACACGGTTTTAGATGTATAAACTAACCAGCTAAACTACGATGCTCATTCAAAATTGATCGATCCTGTTTTTTTCCTTTTCCATCTCCTCGTGTTGGAAGCGTTACCCACGCGCATTCTGATTGGACAAAAAAGAAGATCACCCAGTGAAAATATATGCAATTTGTATTCAAATGGATTGTCTTCTTATAACAACAGGCAGGTGAGAGTTCGGAAAACGCTAAGCGATCTTGATTTCACAACCAGGAAGAAAGCTTTTTCGATCTGCTTTGAGAACAACAAGAATCTCTCTGGATCATGTCGCGAAAATGTCCAACTTGCGAGAAGACCGTCTACATGGGTATGCTCTTAATTTTTTGTCGATTATTTGAAAATTTAGGATCTGTTGTTTTGACTTCGACGCGCGCTTTTCCCGAGTGGTATTTTACATCCGTGATGTGAACGACTCATGATAAAAGCTGAAGAATTCCTCGTTGCTTTTGACCTTCATTGATGCTACTGGCGGTAAATGGAAAACGTTCTTATGAAGTTTTTTTGCTAATGGGTAAAAAATAACAGATTTTGTTCTTCGATGATCATGATCTCATATTCATATCTGCCATTTCTTTGACAGGCGAGAAAAAAGAGTCTGTTGGAAATTGGTATCATCCATTGTGTCTAAAATGTAAGAAGTGTGGCAGGCAGCTTGCGAAAGGAAACCATGCTGAGGTCTGTTGATTTACTACTATTTGAGCGTATGCTTTGACAAGCTAAGATTTCGATTTGATGCAAATTCAATACAAAAATGTCTGAAAGTACGCTCTTGTTTATATATGATATTGGATGTCGTGACTTGAATTCATTTACCTAAAATTAAGCTTAAGGTAACAAACCCCACCTAAAGAATTTGCATTTGTTTTATCGTGTTACCAGAACCTATGAGGTAAGTCAACGAGAATATTCAGAGAGAGGTCAGCCATCAAAAGAGGCGACCCTTCAATAGTTGCAAATTGGAGACTTCTCGTTTTATCAGGAAACAAAGAAAACTCTCTTGCTCATATACAAAATACACAGAGAGGGTGAACTGTGCCGTTGGTAAATGTTTCAAATTTTTGATTAACCTGTGGATGGGTTTTCTTATTTGTCTTGATTTAGTTTCTTCAAACGGCCTATGTAAAGTGACCTTCATTTACGATAGTAAAGGGGTGCTAAATAAGGAACTATTACAGTTTCGTATCCTGGGGGGGGAGGGGGGGGGGAGGATTAATAACCAGCTAAGGTAGCTGGCTACATTTTCCGAAGAGTAGGGAATTTTCGTCCGGGATGACGAAGTACGCTATTGCTTAGGCCTCCTCTGCCCCCAGTTCCCCCGCCTATGTTGAGTTATTCGTCCCGTCTTATTCCCTTAGACCAGACACCTCAAGTCATACTCGTTTCTAGGATTGCTCTTCTCCCTTCCCGCTGGAGGGAGGGGAGCGGGAAGAGGAAGAAGAAAGACCCTGAAAACGAGGTTAACCTTTGGTCTAAAATTACTGTTAATCGGAGGATGCAATATATTTGCTTGATCTTCTCTTGGCGGAAATTTTTCGTTTTAAATTGTTCGATGTTTTCAGCGCAAGGGTCAGCCATACTGTCATAATCCTTGTTATGCCTCAGAGTTCGGCCCTGGAGGATTCGGACATGGCGGAACGGAGTCACACAAGTACTGACACATGACCGTTTTTAAGTAAGTTGCCAACTCTAAATATAGCTTACATTTGCAATACAGAGGTTGTCCTTAAACAAATCCACGTTTAATCGGCAAAACAACCTCTACACAGTAACATGGCTAATACTAAAACTTCGTAAAAGTCCTCAAAAATACGGCTCTCTAAAAACTAAACTCGCACACGCGATAATTATATGCGTCACTTTGCCTACGAGCTTACAAATTGAAAATATCTCTGAGCCCGCGCGCCATGCCAACTCGGTTACTGTCTTCTTGACAGAGGTTATAAAGGGGTGTTCGCGCGCGAGGGAAGGACTGCCCCTTCTCTCGTGCGTGACACACCTTTCGCGTTCGTCTCGCGCTTGCCAAACTTCTCGCCTGAAAAATAAAAATGTACGCACCCGTCCAGTTTCTACATTAAGCTCATCAAAGAATAGATGATTTATCTTTAATTAACTCAGCTATTTTCATTTGTTTATTGATGCAGGGTTTAGGTGTTCCCAGATCAGATTGGTCAACCATAAGGAAACATGATACCTGCCATCAGTAAACCCGAAGGAAACTTCCACTGACTAGATTATAAAACAGACACAGTCTCTCAGGAAACATAAACTTTTTAATAAAGTGCCTTCGTGCCGTGAGTGCACCAGCTGTTGATTCATAAGTTTGTTGGCGTGTAGAAGCACAAAAAGATTGAGCGCGCGGCCAGGTAAAATTTATCCCCTTGCGCATGCCCAATGTTTGACCGCTGTGTTGCCGCGTGCCAATTTCCCGCGTAAAATTTCATACAAAACAGGAGAAACAACTGTATTCACAAAGCTGTTTTCAAATCTCTCTGACGTATTTTGCGAGGCTTTTAATATCACAAAATAATAATAGTGTTCCTGGTCTAGGCTGCAGGCAGCCATCATTATTAGCGCTATAGGAAAAGCGTTTCTCTGCACACGGGAGAATTTGAGTCGAGTAGGGGAGAAGTTTGCCGGGGTCTGACTAATTCAAAATCATCAGTGACGGATCACTTGTAGACCTATCGTTGGCTAGCGTTCCTCAAAGCCTAAACGCTCTTGCAGATGAAGAAACGCGCGCCCTGAAGCTCTGATAATGAGGGCCTGACCGTAGGCTATTCATGCCCCAGCAGATATCAAAATAGATTCTCTGTTATAAAACAAAATGTTTCCTCTCTGATTTCCAACCAGTCAGCCTAAGAAATTTGTTTGCAATATACTGTTTAAATGCTTACGAAAATAAGGCAACGTAACCAGTTAGGGCCAGAGGGATACCGCTTGCTATTGAACTACCGAGCAGTCGTGGATTTCAAATCTAAACTTATTGGAGAAATACTTCTTGCACACGTTGCATTTGCAAATAAAAATAGAGCTTTGTTCTTCCTTCCTGTTCTCTTCGAGATTTGATTTCAGTCGCGGTGGTAAGTGTCCTGCACTGAGAAAGTCGATATGACAATCAAGAATACACCTGAAAGTATAAACAGCCTAGTCATGTCTTCGTTAGAGACTTGCAAGGGCTTATAAAGCTGAGAAAAAAGTCTACCCTGTTCCAGGCGTTCAGTCAGTAGAACGAAGCGCGATGGTAGCGGCAGAGTGAAAAAACGAAAGGGTTTGGGTCGGGTCGGGTCGGGTAAAACGCCTGCACCCGACCCAGACTTCCCTCGCTTTTACTATCACGCTTTGTTTTACAAACATATGCATATTCACGATTCTGTTCTCAATACATGTCCTACTGGGCTGACAAGAAGAGTTTGTTTCACAATTAAGAGCTTCTTTAGTTGGTGATCCTTTCCTTAATTCTCGTAACCTTCAATTTTTGATTCAGGGGTGATATTGTAAGGAGAAATTAATTGCTTGTCATGTCACTCTTAGGGTCAAAGGATTTCAAAAGAACAGAAATACGTACAAATTCTTTGACACGACGAAGCAATACTTACTTGATAGAGAGTTCAAACAATGTAGATACTTCGGCAATAACAGGGCCTTTGTCCTCACAAAACCACGGTTTGAAGTTGCAAAACAGGTTTCTCCTACCCTTCCTCTTTTTTAAGTAATTTAAAATGGATTGTAACCCTTGTTCTACAATTTCTGGTGGAGGTGATGTTAAAGGATTCTCTCGAACATCAAGACTTGTTAAACTTGGTAAATTGAGAAGCTCTGTTGGCAAATAAGTTATATAGTTGCCCCTGCAAGAAGGAAACAAATTAAACACTGATTGTTAGGACTTTGCAAAGCGAACACTAAGTTGGAAAAATTGCTGGTTACCAGTTGTCTACGCCACCTTTGAGACATCTTACCACCAGCTTTTTAGCCAGCCAGCAGACTCTTGTGTCTGAGTTTTGCCTTACATCCCCTCTTTGGGTAAAGCTGCCTATTACACTACCAGCAGCTGCTTATGGAAGAGTAATTAAAACCTCCTGGATATCTCCTTCTTTATGCAGGTATTTGTATGACTATGATGATACATAACTATTTTTTTCTACATGTTTGAGGCAATTTCCAATTGAGTGTCAAAAGTAAACTGAGGCTGCTTTGGTTGTACTCCAACTTGCTATGTGATTGGCCACCTCCTTAACCAATCAGACTCAAAGCTAATACCACTAATGTCTTGCTTATCTGCGATTTCTTGCACTTCATACCCTTTGGTTTTTTTAAAACCTTTCAAACAACAACCATGTTAAAGCAAGATTCTCAAATAGATTACTTTTTTGAGAACAGAAAAAATGTGTGGACTAAAATAGAATTGCATTGTTAGTACCTGACTGAAAGAACTTCCAGGGTTGGAATATATGCAATGATTCTTGGAAACCTTTCCTAGAGAAGAAAGAGGAACAAAAGCCCTTTGACTCTCAGAAATGAAAAACATGCAAGTTTGTTGAATACATTACCCAGCTGGTGGGTGATGATTTACTTACTGACCAAGTAGGAGGGCCAGACTGAAAAAATATTTGGCTTGAGGTTATGAAGTATGAACCATGAGCAATACCATTCACACAGTATAACTATGAGTGAAATGCCTTCCTGTCCAGCCTGACCCGACACAGCTAATAAGCACTTTAACATATCACAGTCACTAACAATTTTTTGGATCAACCTCAGTATTTGAGCAACTGCATACCTACCCCTCCCCTCAAGTGATAAAAAGTTAGGCTTGATAACAGCTTAGGGGAGGGGTAGGTGCGATACACTTGCTCAGATACTGACATTAATGCATTTTTTTGTTTCCCTTTTGGAGCTCGGTGCTAAAGCTTAGTCTCATCAACATTAATTGTTAATATTAGCTACTACTGCAACTAATGAATAGCCCATAAATAAATCAAAATAATTACTTTAGATGGGTACTTACCAAGGCATTAAATGATAAATCAAGCTCTTTGAGTTGTTTGAGGTAAATTACCGACCAAGAAATATCAGTCAATTGATTCCCACGCAATATGATTTTTTGGAGATTTGAGAAGGAGCAAAGCTGAATTGGAATTGAACAAATTTGTTTACCTTGAGAAAGAAAAACAACATTATATTCAATCAATTCACATCAATAGTAAGTAATCAAGCAAGAAATATTGCTTATTAAAATTAAGCAGACAATAATATGGGAGAATCAAAAATTGGGTCTATTGTGGTAATGATGATGGTGGCCATAATGATGTTGACAATGGTGACAATGATAATGATAACCCAGATGACCTGTCTGGAATGAACTGTAAGGAAAGCCACATGAAATGCTGAGCACTACTTTGTGATAGACAAGCATATGGGAACTAATTTAGGGGAGTAACAGTATATCCTGTTTCTTCGGTATTTTCAATTTTCATAAGAATAATATGCAATAATGTTATTAATTAATATTAATCGTTTGGCACACCTTCTAGAATAAATTGCTGAACTTTGAGAGGATTTTTGTAAGCCTCCAAAATTCTACCCACATCTTCTTCTTGTTCAGATGTGAGGTCAACATCGGATAAAGATATCTAGAAATCAAATGAAAAAAACAGCTTCGCACTATTCCGAAAAAAGCCGTGGTTCCACTTGGTAGACGAGCACTAAAGATACAACCGCATAATAAACAACGTCTTGAAGTTATCGATCAGAGAGGGAAAGTAAATAAATATCTCGATCTCATAAACATGCGAAAAACAATTTCACCTTTGTAGGATTCGAAGTCAGCCCTCTACCAAACAAGAAGGAAATTATATTTCTGAATGGCTCAAGAATGCGATCCATGAAAGACAGACTCTAAATCAAGATATGCTCTCATTTCAAAAGCAACCTGTCACTTCTTTCCACGTGGAATATTTCTCATTGCATTAATTTCATAAACTCTTCGCGAAATTTGCAGACCTCAGTTTGTTTTGCTTACGTCTAAAGCTAGATGTCGTGTAAGAATCATCGAAACATCTCTAATTACCAGCTCTCCTACCTCGCGCCGGCAGGATCTCAGGAGGCATAGAAAACACTACCAGCTAGAGGTACAGCTTGCATATCTAGTCAACTTTGCCCTATTGTTACAATAGTTTGCTTCGCATTTTAGTCTTACACTCCTTTGAATCACTTTTTTCAGGAATATGTAGACATTTATATATTTTTATTTGGTCTTGAACCTTTAGCTGGTAGGATCTTAGGAGGCTTCTAAAATGCTACTGGCTAGAGGTACGACTTGCATGCTTTGCTCCACATTTTGCTTTTCTGCACTCAAAGTTGTAGTCTTACACTCTTAGGAATCATTTTTTTTAAGAATACATTTGAATTTTTTTTCTCTTATTTGGTCTTGTACCTCTAGCCAGTAGGATCTCAGGAGGCTGAGTTTCTTGCTCAACAGTCTTAGCTTAACACTGTAGCCGCTAAGACCTATGCTTGCAAAGGTAAACAAAACTTATGAATAGTATCGCCACTTTTATGATCCTGTCGTAGTGCTACTGGTTGGAAAGATCCATAGGATGAAATTTCTATTGTCTTGTACCTCTAGCCGGGAGGATCTCAGGAGTCTCAGAAAATACTACCACCTAGAGATACAGCTTGTATATCTAGTCAACTTTTCCCATTTTACTTTTGTGGTTTGCTTATTTTACTTTTCTACGCTCCAAATTAGTCTTACACTCCTTGGAATCACTTTTTTCATGAACACATTTACATTTTGTTCTCTCTTATTTAGTCTATAACCTCTAACTAGAAGGATCTTAGTAGGCTTCGAAAATACTTGAAGTATAGCTTGCATATTTAATTAGCTTTGCCCAATTTTTATTACAATCTGCTTTGCATTTTACTTTTTGGCATTCCATTTTAGTCTTATCCTACATTGGAATCATTTTTTTCAAGAATATCTTCTTTTCCTTGGTCGTGTTTTCCTACCACTGCTTATTTGATAGCACAGCACACAAGCTATGAGCAACAAATGACTCTTTATGAGGAATCAGCTGAAACTAAAGCAGGCATTGTCTAGCAATAAGCAAAGGGTTTCTGGTTGGTGTTCAATAAGAAAGGTTTGACTTATTTTTAATAGTTGCAATTTTTATTAAAAATACAATAAATAACACAGGCGCAGGTTAATCTCTTTAGATAATTGTATAAATCCTGTATATATAGTAGATAACCATTCTATATTTTCAAGAATAACTTGCCTTAAGGTTTTCATACAGTTATACAAACTGTTAAATATCATTAAAAATACAAAGGGAAAATGTCAATTTGGTGAATTAAAATCATGTTATCCTATGACTACCTAAAGATGACTTGATTTTAGTATTTCAGACAATGGTTGGCCTTGTAAACAATACTTCTAATCAAACACAAACATCATGAAAATAGAGACTGTTCCTTTCTAAGAAATTCCACTTAAACTGAGGCAGAGTATTACATGAAAAACTTCAGTAAATCTGGTGGACATGTTCAAGTCTAAAATGAATTTCAAGTCAAATTCATCTAAAACTTGTTATATTTGTATTGAAATAAATCCACAACCAAAGAAAATACAAATCAGGCTATTTTAAAATTTATTACCTTGAAATTAATTTAAAACATAACAGTGTTAATGATTTCAAGTTTATTTCATATAAGCTGCCCCTCTGGCTGGTAGTGTTTTCTTAGTAATCCAAGATCCTACTAACGAGATGAACAAGACTGCAAAGCATAAAAATATACCTATGGAGTGACTCCACAACAGTATGAGACTAACATGGAATGTAGAAGGGTTTTTCCATAAATCAAGAAGTAAATGAAATGAGCTAAATTCACCTTGAATGCACAAAGTACCTGTAGCCCGTAGTATTTTCTAAGCCACCTAAGGTCCTACCAGCTAGAGGTACACAACCAAGAAACAAGAAGATATTCATAAAAAAGTCATTCTGATGTAGTGTAAGACTAAATGGAATGCCAAAAAAGTAAAATTCATAGAAAACTGTAGTAAAAATTGGGTAAAGTCAACTAAATATGCAAGCTGTACCTCTGGTCAGTAGTATTTTCTAAGCCTCTCAAGATCCCACCAGCTAGAGGTACAAGATCAAATGCAAAAAAAAAAATGTACATTTACTCTTGTAAAAAATGATTCCAACAAGTGTAAGACTAATTCGGAGTGCAGAAAAGTCAAATTTGGAGCTAACCATAATAAAAATTGGTCAAAGTCAGCTAAGTATGCAAGCTGTACCTATAGCCGGTAGTATTTTATAAGCCCCTACCAGCTAGAAGTATAGGACCAAATAAAAATAAATAAATGTATAGGTATTCTTGAAAAAAGTGATTAAAAGAAGTGTAAGACTTATTTGGAGTGCAGAAAAAGTGAAATGTGAAGTAAACCGTTGTAATAATTGAGCAAAGTTGACTAAATATGAAAGCTGTACCTTTAGCCGGTAGTATTTTATAAGCCTCCCGAGATCCTATCGGCTAGAGGTACAAGAGAATACAAATTCATCTTGGGGATCTTTCCAACCACTAGCACTATGTCAAGGACATTATAGTGGCGATACTATTCATAAGTTTTGTTTACCTTTGCGAGCGTGGGTCTTAGCGGCTACAGTGTTGAGCTAAAACTCTGCTGAACAAGAAACTTAAGATCGGCAAGGGTGAAAGAAACAGCCATGCAAAGTTTCCTTGATTTAAACTAAAAAATGTATTCTTCACGTGTAATGTATGTTACAATGTTCATTTCTGGTTCAATCACGTCGCTTGACTTTTGGTAAATCGCAAATGGTGTTACTGGAATAGTCCGCCATATTAGCAGTTGCGGACAATTTGCGATAATCACCCGACTCGGAAACTCGTCAGTAGTGCTCCCAAGCAAACAAGGAAAGGCTTGGTCACAAATTCAGCGGGCTTGGCTACTGAGTTGAGCCTCGTTTCTAAGCTTCATTAAAGCAAATTTTAACAAACTTAGCAATTGAACGTTATTGTGAGTTGCAGTTTAAAAGCACTCTCCGCGAGAGTAAGTATTAGGGTTTGTGTCAATTTAAATTCTTGCTCTTTTATCACCTTCCATCCTTTTCCTTGCCAACAACCTTCTTGCAACGAATACAGAAGCGATCCTCGCAGTTATGATCACTACTGCACTGGTAGTTGAAATAAGGCCTAAAAAAAGAATTTAACTCGCACTGGTAAGGTTTAAGGTTAAAGGTTTTTAGAGCGCTACACCGGTATCGCAGAGGTCATGGGTTCATATCCCGTACGGGCCTGTATTTTTTTCAGTTACTATGATAACAAAGCAATTTACATTTAAAAAGCAGCAAGGTTTGTATCATAACATCATCATCATATCTTTATTTGATAAGTAGGTTAAAAAAAATGGTAACTTTACAGCTGATGTGGACCTACTATATTTTAAGATAAAAGATAAATAAACGTAAAATAAGATAAATAAATCGAGAGTTAAGTCTTAAATAAGGGCCTGTTTACATGGAGGTGGGGGACCCTAGGTAGGTGCGGTAACCCGCCTAGTCATTTACATGCAATCTTACAACCCTGGGCTACTGGGGTGAGGTTTCTTAAGGTTGATGTTGCACTTGCAATTAGGGAGTTTGTGTGTATTTATTCATGAAAACTTCATGCGTTGTGTCGCGTGGTGTTAGGTTATGCAAGGAATCGTAGACTTAATATGCTATAAGGAATGGTTTGGGAAATGAAATATGGTCGATTTACAGTGCTAAATATTCAGAAATGTGAACATTTTACACTCCTTGTATGTCCGTAGTGGTTTCTGGTGATTTCTGCCATGAGATGGCTGGGAAATGTACAAAGTTTTAAAACGTATGTGGTTAGCTTTTAAGCTTTTTGCCATGAACTTGACCCCGGCTAGGTGGGTTACCCCACCTTGAGACATCTACATGACAAATTGTCACCCTGGCTGACAGGGTTACCCTACCTGGCAGACCGGGCAACCCACCTTGGTGGGTTACCCCACCTATCATGTAAACGTGGTCAAGATAAAATGAGAGATTATATGGAAAGGTGGGTTACCCCACCTAGGGGGTTACCTCACCCACCCGGGGTCCCCCACCTCCATGTAAACAGATCCTAAGAAACAATGAATATAAATATAAATGTGTCATAATATATCAGAAATGGTAGAAATTTGAATTCTTATTATAAACAACAGAGCCACCCCCCTTTCCAAAATTTATATTTACAACATCATTTTTTGCCTTTTTAAGCCTGTTTTTAAAAGCAATTGGATTGGAAAAGTGTCTTAAATTATCCGGTAATGAATTCCATGCAATTGCTGCCCTGTGTGCAAAAGAACTATGGCCAAGTTCAGTATTAGGTCTATCAATTAAAATATTGAGTGATTTTCTAAGATCATAACTATTAGAGCACTGAACAACCAACCTTTTTTAAAGACAGTTATAACTGAAGATTCTTTCCACTGCTGGGGGAACTTACAACAATCCTTGCTCTTTTTAAAGACTTCAAACAAGCCTTGAATAAGAGATCCCTATGCCAGTTTAAGATCTTTAGGTGAGATTTGATCTGGTGCTAATGCCTTGCTTGGATGAAGGGTTTTAAGAATATCATCCCTAAAAACATCCCATTTCAGGGAAAAGTTATCTATAGTAGGGGTAACCCTGTTTATATAACAAACTGTATCAAAGGGGACAGGATTGAAATTCCTAGTAAGATCATTAGCAATATCTAGAAATCTACTTTTTGTTCATCATCTGTTATTAAATTATCATTATCATTAGTCTTGTAAAGGTCCAGTTCTAGTGTTCTTACTTTTACCAAGTATTCGATTGGTTATTTTCCAGAAGTCTTTGGGTATCTATGACTCTTCAATTTGACTGATCCAATGTTGGGCTTCAGCTATCCTTAGCATCCTTTTGACGCAGTTTCCTTTAATCCTGTATCGATCCCATAACATACTGTCATCTGGATTAGCTTGTGCTGCTTTCAAATATTTATACTTTTGATTCATGGCCCCTCTGTTTTCTGTATTAATCCAATGAAGAGATTTGGATCTGGCCTTTACTTTCCTACGTTTTATGTGGGTCTCCAAGATTTCTTTGAAGATAGTTTCCCATATGTACACACTATCCTAAATCTCCTCTATGGCACTAACAATATGCCATGGGGCTTCATCTAGGTCCTTTTGTAGTTTGTCAATTTCTAATGACTTATAATTTCTAACAGAAAACATATAAGGCTTAGAATTTCTCTTCTTAAAAGAGAAAGTGACATATGTAAGATGATGGTCAGAGATTCTCAAGTCAATTGAGTCAGCTAAGATATGAGATGCTTGGAGGTTGGGGCTAACAATGATAAGGTCAATTAGAGTCTTAGGACCTGTTTACATGGAGGTGGGGAACCCCAAGTAGGTGAGGTAGATGTCGCACAGTAAATTTGAGTTGAAATCACCCAGCAAGATAATGTTTTTCCTTTTAATCAAGATCCTGTCAAGCAAATCATACATACAGTTCAAAAAGGTGGTAGATTTAGGTGGGTGACATAAGTAGCCAAGTAGAGTAGATTGGGAACATACTGTAATATTTAACTAGACAGCTTCCAGGTCTTGGACAATATTCCATTTGAGATCTTCATAAACAGTTAGACTCTCACGGTAATACATTAGCACTCCTCCACCCCTCAAACCATTAGATCTGTCACGTCTTGCCAGTTCGTATCCTGGTATCTTGATCAGGTTATTGGATATTTCCTCAGTGAGATGAGACTCGGTAATTTCCAGTATATCAAATTTAGTAAAATACTAACTTTATTAATGAATTTCTTTCCAGAACATGCCAAACATAAGGCTACAGAGCTCAGATGGAGAAATATTCGAAGTAGATGTTGAAATTGCTAAAGCATCAGTCACAATCAAAACTATGCTTGAAGGTAAGTGCGTTAACCCTTTAACCCCTAAGAGTGATTAGTAACTATATTCTCCTGTCAGTGTCACCCTTAAAACAAACATTGAGGTCATGAGAATAAAGGAAATGATCACCAACTAAAGAAGCTCTTGATTGTTAAAAAAATTATCTTTGCCGATACCATAAGAAATGTATAGAGAACGGTATGGAGAAAACTGATGAATTGATACTGATGTTAGAGTGTAAGATTACAAGAGCAGATCACAGATAACTCAATTTGCCCAGTGCTTTCCCATTATAGAAAGACAAATGTACAAATGGTCTTGATGGTTGGGTCTTATAATAAAGCTCTAAGTCTACGGTATTGTTCAAAAGTAACGCAAGCGAAATGCGCGAATTTCGTTTTTTGTTCTCGCGAACTTAGAAATTTCGTGCGAAAGTTCGAATGACAATTCGAGGCTTTTTGTGCGAATTTTTCGTCGAACAAAAAGCGCTATTTCGTCGAATTTTCGCTTCGAAACGAAAGTTCAGCGAAAGTTCGCGATAAAAAGCGTAGGTTTACTGCCTACTGCTCGCAATTTTGCGCTAGATAGACACAATTGTTTGCCGTGCGATCTATCGTTCATATAACGTTCACGAAATAGACGACAGGAGCCAGTAAGACGCAGGTTTGGTCAAGCGAGTGATGCCTGAAAGGCTCACTTGTAATCCTTCGCTTTTAAAGGTTTTAAATATTCCAGCCGGATGGAAGCCCTAGTTATACAGGAGCTTGATTCGAGTTCTAGTATAGTTTGATATTTTTGGCATAATGACGACCAGAATGTTACGAGATCGATAAATGAATGAGAGAATTGTCTACGAAGCATTGGTATACCATGCGTTGTCATGGTTGTGAATAGTTTACGTCACGCTTCCTCGCGCGGAGTCTCGCCTACAAATCGGGAATTTCATATGTTGTTATATGAGGAAGTTAATCACAAAAAATGGCGCCTAGTTCAAGTTCCACTTGCCTGAAGAGATTACGTGGGCGTTTGTACTGAGACTCGAACACCTGGCTGTTCGTATCACATCAACAATCAAACATTCACTGAGGTTTCAACAGGAAAGAGCGATAGAATAGTTGCTTGAATGGATGAGAATGATTTCGAATATTTCTGCAATGCATTACAACAATACGTGGACTACACTTTGCTGCAATAAGTAGAGCGAATTTTCTCTCGAAATTTCGCACCGAACTTTCGAGAAGAATGAACTTTCCCTCTTGAGTTCGCAACTCACTAGCGTCCACAGCGAAATATCGTTCGTAATTTCGGCGTACTAAAACAATAGGTGCCTCGAAAGTTCGCGGAAATTTCGTTCGCAGCGAAATTTCCTCGAAAAGCCAGGAAAAGCCAGGAAATTAGTCGGAGTTCGTTTGCGTTACTTTTGCACAATACTGTACTTACCAATCTTAAACCTAGTATCATTAACGGTACTTTTTAGCATTCTAAGCAACATACAGCAGTATACCACATTTTCCGTATATCCAGGCAGTTTGGAAAGCAGTAAGGCACTTTTTATCCCCATGACAAATGCTTTTCATTCAATTAACTTATTCTTGTTTTTCGCGTTTTCATGTTCCCGCTTGTGGCGTAGCTCAATCTCTCTGTATAAAAACCACACACAACCCACAATTCCTCTATTAGCTGTGATGAGGGGCTAATGCTTATAACATGAGCTTTACAGACTCTTTTCTGTGGCCAATTTACATTATAGAATAGAGGAAATGATCATCAACTTGAGCAGTTCTTGATTGTTAAACAAATTCTCCTTGTTAGCACCTTGGGAAATGTATAGAGAGCAGTATAGAGAATATGCATAGTGATGTCAGGGTGTAAAGGGTTAACATGATATTTACTTCCATTACAGATCTTGGCATGGATGAGGATGATGATGAACCTGTCCCGCTTCCCAATGTCAATGCGGCAATTCTTAAGAAGGTAATGCTGACTGTTTAGCAGAGTCCTGGGTGTTTGCATACCTCTAACTATTTGAGGTTGTGGTCTGTACTTTAAGCAATGGACCAAGTTTTTCAGCAGATTTATGGAATGGGTGGGCCATAAGTCAAAGTACTGACCAAGAAAATGTGGTTAGGAAGACATTTACTATATACTGGGTTCAAAAAGAGAGGGAAGATTTCAGTTCAAACAAACTTTCAGATTTAGATTTCACCAACAGTAAAAAATGGCTTGGTAATTTGACCAACAATATGCCACAAACAAGTCTTATGTGGTTATGTTGTAGGTTAAAATGGTACTTAGTTTGAAATTATATCAAACTTGGTTGGTTTTTATTTTCCACATTATGTAATTATCATATGATAATCAAAAAAAGAGAAAACATATTGTACATCAAACCAGTCTAAAATCATTTTGACACAAATTTTTCCTTAACCCTTTAACTCTTGGCAGTGATTAACATGAAACTTCCTCCTATAATTCCAAACATTATTCAGCAAACAGATAATGAGAATACCCAGACTTAGCAGGTAGAAGGTATTGTCTTGATCTAACATAGAATTCTTGTAACTAATTTTCAAGGAAATGTGTAGCAGCCTGATAGGAGAAGTAATAATCAGATCTTTTGCTTTTATGAAGGTTATTCAATGGGCTACTCATCACAAGGATGACCCACCCCCACCAGATGATGATGAAAACAAAGAAAAAAGAACAGATGACATTGATCCTTGGGATCAAGAGTTTCTCAAAGTGGACCAAGGAACACTTTTTGAGCTCATTCTTGTAAGTTTGATTCCTAAATGAAGCATGACTTTCTTATAGATGAATGGGTGGAAGATGGAGCAACTTAATCCTTTAATTCTTTACACCCAAACATCAGTTTGCATATTCTCCATACTGTTCTCTATACATTTTCCAAGTTACTTACAAGGAGAATTTGTTGAACAATCAAAAGCATCTTTGCTTGATGATCATTTTCTTTATTCTTGTTACCTGAATATGTGATTCAGAGGTGATCTTGTGAGGAGAAGTTAGATGCTTGTCACTCTAAGGGGTTAAAGAGCTAAACCCTAAGAGTGCCTGGTGTCTCATTTCTCCTTTCTGTGTCTCCCTTGAATCAAATATAAAGTTCATGAAAATAAAGGAAATGATCATCAATTTAAGAAGCCCCTGATTGTCAAACAAATTCTCCTCCTCAGTACCATAGGAAATGCAAATAGGACAGTATAGAGAATATGAATCATCAAGTAATAGAAATATAGAGCAGAGGTATGTATAACTTTTCCCATAAGCAGTTGCCAATGGTGTAATGAGCAGCGCTGCTGTTAGGCAAAAACCAAACATGGGAGGTTTTTCGCTAGGTTTTTACTGGCTTTTAATGAAATCCCTTGATGAATAGTGGTGAGAAACGGAGTGATATAATTCACAAGTGAAGAGGGAATAGAAAGGCAATCAAAATGTAGGCTTAGAATTTTAGATCGTTGACCTTCTCTGATACTGAAAACGCTGGTAATCATTGTGGTTAGCGTGTTAGAGGACACGATTGACATTTTACATGGCAACTCCCAAAGCTAAGAAGAAGTTTTTTTTATTATTATTGACGACTGTCTTCTTTTTTGATTCAGTATTCCAGGTTTGATCTGTTCTGTGATTCCAAGAAACCTATTGTTTTGAATCACCATTATTGTGCTACATGATAGTGCATTCTGTTTGTGTCATTCAAATGAATTGAGCAGAGATCATCAGTTTCTTTCTCTTTAAGCATAGCTTACTAAATCGTAAGTAACAACAGTACTTACCCCAGTAGTGTGTGGTTTGTTAGTTGCTCACATTTCCTGATCTCTACTCTGATTGGTCATTAATGCAATGAACATTCCAAAAACATATGGGTAAAAGTAAAGAATCCAATCTCACCAACGCGTCGGCCAATGCATTGGCCAACACACTGTCAACACGTTGCCTGACACACTACCAATGTATCAGCTGACACACTACCAACGCGTCAGCCGACACACTACTAACACATCAGCCGAAACACTACTAATGCATTGGTCGACGTGTTGGTAGGATCGGATTCTTTACCTTCTCCAACATATGGGGTGTGTATGGTGTTCTAAGTTAGACTCTGATGAATTAAGTGTGTGTTTCTCATTGCAGGCTGCAAACTACCTTGATATCAAAGGTCTTCTAGATGTCACATGTAAAACTGTAGCAAACATGATCAAAGGTACAGTATACCAGAACTTTTTTCTGTGTTCTAGCCTTGTTTCCAAAATAGGGGGCATCTACAAAATTTCCTTTAAAAATGTAAATGCTCAGTACTGTTTGGCCAAAGTCTCATGCAAAGCACTGTAAAGTGCCATTGGCAGATGGGGTTTACAGTCAAGTCGCCCGAAACCTGAGTCATGTTGCCCGAAATTTTAGTTATGAAAAAAAAAGTCAAGTCGCCCGAAGAAATAAATATTAAAAAGATCTGAGTTTTAGACTGTTAATAGGCAATAACGTTGAGAAATTTTTATCCCTGAAGCGCTCTTTGTTTCCGATAACACCATGAAGATTCTTAAAGCGTTGTTCGTTTCTAAAAGCAAAGGGAAGCGTTCTCCGTTTCTAACAAAAAAATGAAGCGTTGTTCGTTTGGTATGTACTCGTTTCTTACTCACGGACATTTCGTAAGCTTGAGAAACTTTTTCTTGGTTTCTAACAAAACCATGAAGACTGACTACACAGAAATCGATCATATGGTCAGAAAGGCCATATGATCGACCGTAATCGTCGCACTGTAGGGCTTGTTGGCATGGGCTAACTTCATTATCACACTCAATGCAAGGGTGAATGCTCATTTTGATCAGTTCGTATTGTAGCTAGCTTTACCCTCTTTATATATACTTTGATCGGATCAAAATAAACATGCGACCGCCAGAGCACAACTACATAATTTATGCTTATTCTGATCCTAGGGGAAATGATGCTATCAGACTACTATTGTGAAAAAAGTCACAAGCATAAACAATAGATTGTTATCTTAAAAATATCTCACTTACCTTACGCAAGGCAACAAGTTAATTTTTAATGTTACCAAGTTCACAAAAAACACAACATAACTTTATTTGTATGTTACTCGCTTTACCTTTTACCGACTTGTCGAACGCGATAATCGACATTCGCTCACCAGGTGTTTTCATCTGTTATTGTTAAGAAAGTCACAAACAGACACAACAGAACTTTACTTGTATGTTACGCTGTATCCGTGCATTTGTTGTTATAGAAACGAACAACGCTTCCCTCTGTTGCTAGAAACAAACAACGCTTTTAGAGTCGTTACTCAAACATATTTCAATTCCAAGCATACAATCGATTTCTGTGTAGTCTAAGTCTTCATGGCATTTTTAGAAACAAGAAAGAGTTTCTCAAGCCTACGAAATGTCCGTTAGTAAGAAACGAGCACATACCAAACGAACAACGCCTCATGCTTTTGTTAGAAACGGAAAACGCTTCCCTTTGTTGCTTGAAACGAACAACACTTTTAGAATCGTTACTCAAACATATTTCAATTCCAAGCATACGATCGATTTCTGTGTCGTCAAAGTCTTAATGGCTTTGTTAGAAAAAAAGAAAAGGTTTCTCAAGCTTACGAAACGTCCGTGAGTAAGAAACGAGTACATATCAAACGAACAACGCCGCATTTTGTTGTTGGAAACGAACAACGTAAGGAACGAACAACGCTTTAAGAATCTTCATGGTGTTGTCGGAAACAAAGAGCGCTTTAGGGATAAAAAATTTCTCAACGTTATTGCCTATTTACAGTCTGAAATTCTGATCTTTTTAGTATTTGTTTCTTCAGGCGACTTGACTTTTTTTTTCGGGCGACATTACTAAAATTTCGGGCAACATGACTCATGTTTCGGGCGACATGACTTCGGGCGAGATGACTCTCGGGCGACTTGACCGGTTACCGCAGATGGATATGGTGCTAAAGTAATCCTTCATTATGCATGATATTTCTTTTCTACCAGGCAAAACGCCAGAGGAGATCAGAAAGACATTCAACATTAAGAACGACTTCACACCAGAAGAGGAAGAACAGGTTTGATTTTATATCTTTCTCTGTAGTAAAATTGTAAACAAACAAATATTCAAACAAAGAGAGAGAAAGAGAAGAATGATAAGGAACAATTCAGTCATAGGTTAATATTGCTCTTCTTTGCTTCAGGCTAGTTTAAAATCATTTTGTCCTAAATTTTAATTTGAAAATGGAACATAACTATTTGCATAGCATTACCATTGCATTAAATGTTTGCCCTGTTTTTTCCCCCTTATGGTTTTTTTTTTTGGGTGGAGGGCAAGTGTTGAAGGATTTATCCATAACTTATCAATATCTTGATCTTGTTTGAAACACAGCAAACAAAAATCAGCTTTCAGGCTGTTAAAATTACAAGATCTTTTGAGAACTCCAGGAACCACAAAGAAATATAGTTAAACTTGAATCGCTCTGATGAAGGGCTAACGCTCAAAACATCAGCTTTTTTACCCTTTACAGTGGCTAATTTACGTTTTCAACTCAGTTGTTAATGCTAAGTTACCAGCTATACTCTCCCACCAACGCAGCACCACAGTTTCTTTAGAAACTTACCCCTTCAAACATTTCTTGTCTGTACTTCTTGTGACAGGTTCGCAAAGAAAACGAGTGGTGTGAAGAAAAGTAAAGTTGACTATTAATATACACAGTATTTACTTGAAAACACTTCAAAGCCTTAAAACTTCAAGAACTTTGCAATGATAGCACTTTTTTTATGACCCTATGGATTTTGTAATTTGTGAACGTGGTACACTTTGTGTAGCCAATTCTATTCTTTAATTTAATTCAGTTGAAGTTAAGCAGTGATCAACCTGCCTTTAGTTTAATCTTTTTTTTGAGAGTAGAAGCCAGCAAGTGTATATTTGTAGCAGAACTAGTTTGTGAAAGGGAGGTCATAAATTACTGCATTTTATTTGACTTGTCATTTATAATAAAGGAGTGTGATTCTGTTTTTTTTGCTGTAATTATTTACTACTACCTCATCTCAAATTTGTTTTGTTTACCCTTGATTAAAATGCAACTTCTCCCTTTAATATCCATACATTATCCAGCAAACAGGTAGAGAGAATACTCAAACTTATTAGGTAGAAGTGGTTATCTTGATCTAACACTAAATTCTTGTAACTATAGTGCAAGGAAATGTATAGTGGAAGGGAGAATTAATAATCAGGTCCAGAAATTTTTGATGGGGGGGGGAAGGGGGTCAGGACTTTGACTTATAAACACAGAAATTTAATCTACTAAGCTTTAGTAAGTTACCGGTAACAAACATTTCAAGACAAGTGAATATTAAGTACTTTATCATGGGTATTTGTATAAGTCTACCAGGATCCTTTTATGAATACTACTCTCTTTCTGTTCTGTGATAAACAGGAAGTAAAAGAAGTAGCTTGAGGCATGATCTAGTTATACCATTATTCAAGAAAAGCAAGAGCCTGTCTTCTTGTTAAGTTTGGAACATCTTGCAAATCGTGTGATAATTAATTTGTGCTTTGCCCTCACCAGCTTTTGCACAATATAAATCTGAAGCTCATAAAGTAATATGCAGTCTTGTTATTGCAAGAATTATGGTGTTAGACATGTAGGATTGGTCAGTACACTATGGCCTGAAGGTACAGTTTAATTCCAGCCAATAGTCATCATTCAATCTATCAATCAATCAATCAATCCTTTATTTATTTAAGCAGGTTAATAATTACAAAATTGTTGGAGACAATATTGCATCAGCAGCCAAAGGCGGATGTTGACCTGCTATATAGAATAGTAATATTATAAACTGAATAACCTATAGCAAACTTAATAATAACTTAGTAATTACTAAAATCATCTGATGTGGACCTAGCATGTAGAATCATAATAACAATAATATTAAATAAAATCAGGTGATGTAGAACTGCTATGTACAATAATATAATAAATAAGACTATAATGAACTTAATAATAGCTTAGTAATAAATAAAATCATCCATCTTGTTTGAAATCATAATAGCCTCTTTGTTAAATGAAAATTGGAGATTATCTTTGGAAAGCTTTCTTAAGATTACTTTAAATCCTTCTTAACTAACATTAGAAAATTTAACTTTCTAATTTATAAAGTTTGAAATATCAGGACCCCTGTATTGAAAAGAACTCCTTCCTAATTCAGACTTTACCCTAATAATATGATATTGATTACTGAATCTAGTTGATTGAAATGATTTAGAGAACATGTCCAGAATTTGGCTAGGAGTAGACCCTATGAAGACTTGGTACATCTTAAGTAATATGTGTCTCGTATAAATAATTAATAGGATGCTAGTTGTATTGAGACAGACATAGGCTACTTTCTAGCAAACAAGGGAAGTTATTTACTATGTGATATGCACAGGCATGAGTATAATCTAGGCTGTTAAGTAATGGTTGGGAGTAATTTCCCCACACTAGTATGCCATAAGTGACACTAGGAATAATTGTTTTGAAATTTATTTCTTCTAGAACTGACTTGGGTAAGTATGACATTCTCCTTAAACCTTTAGCTCCCAGAAGCGATTAACATGTAATAATTACATGTTAATCACTTCACTGTTATTTCACCCTGTAATATTCACACACTATCCAGCAAACTGGTAATGAGAAAACTCAAACTTATCAAGTTGAAGTTGTTCTTTTAATAAAACTTCAAATTCTCATCACCAACGGACAAGGAAATGTGAAGCAGCTAGAGGGGAGAATTTACATCCAGATCTTGGGAGTTAAAGTATTAAAGCACCAACTATTTCAGAAAATGAAGTTTTAGCTCTGTCTACTTGAGCATGCCAAGAGAGTTGGTTATCAATCATAACACCTAGGCAGGTTGTAAAACTGACAAACTTCACAAAGCCATGGCCAAAATGTAATTGCATCTTGGCAAAGAAGAGCTGGCTGAACAATGGTTTGTAATGAAGCCTAACAGTGGCTCCCTTCACCAAAAGGTACACATAGATGTCAGTGCACTGTTGGATAACCCTGTCAAAATGCTAAGATTAACTTGGTATGGGTCAGTATGGATCTGCATCCCATCCAGGGAGAGAAGTATCAAACAGTAAAGATTCAGACTTGGTGAAGGCTATGATAGGCTCTTTGCTACTAGCTGGTGGAAACTGGTACCAAGTGTGATTGATAGGAGGATTATGGGGAGGGTGAGCAAGTAGAGAGAGTTGGTTGTGAACAGAAGGTTTGTGTATGGATTTGAATGCATAAGCAATAAACGGCAATAATCAAGTTTTTTCTGTTTTGGAGATTTCTTAACAGGAGCATTTCCAAAATAGCTAATTTGACTTTTATTACCATCATCCTACAATTGTGTCACAAGAAACCAATAACATATTTGCAGAAAATATATACAGGCTCTGGGATTTTGTGAGAGGTTGATGTCGAGGGAAACATCTTTTTTTGAGGACAATGGTTGTGCTAAACCCAGTCAGAATTTTTCAAGTCCAGCAGAGTCTAGCATTCCCCAATGTAGTGATAAGCCCATCAGTTCTCACTTTCTATCACCAATTCTCTCCTCTAACAACTCAAAATATCTTTGTTTATCAGCTTAATGTTACAGATTGTGTACTTAAGGGTGAAAACATTTTGTGAGTCTTTTGGTTGCTAGATTTTTATCCTTGTTTCAATTGTCACCATTTTCATAGAGGGGTGTACAGGTGGCAGTAAAAAAAAGGAAGAGGTTGATACTAAATCAAATAAAATTGTTTGTTGTGGTAATCCAAACTCAGATACCCCTTTGACCTCCAAGAGTGATTAGCATCTAATTTCTCCTTAAAATAGCACCAATGATTCACACTTTAAGCTCTGGAGAATGAAGGATATGAACATTAACTAAAGATACTCTTGATGATTAAATTCTCTTAGTCAGCGCCTTACCAAATGTACAGAGAACAGTATGGAGAATATGCATACAGATGTAATAGTGTTTAAAGGGCAACTGTTTCCCTGAAACTGAATTGTGAAAAGGTTTAAATGACAGAACTGGATTGGATTTTAACCCTTTCACTCCCATGAATGACCAAGATAGAATTTCTCCTTACAATATGAATACAATATCAACCAGATAAGTGATGAGAATAAAGAAAATTATCAATTTGGGAATAAGTTGATCCAATACTAAATTCTCTAAATTAGCATTATAAGAATTGTATGGTTGACAGTAGGAAGAATTACAAATTTGATCTGGGAATTAAAGGGTTAATGTGATTGGGTGAATAAGGGTAGTCACTGACCCGTTTTAGGATCCACTGTTTAGTCGCAAAAATATCTGGTCTAATTATATATTTACATTCAATTTGGTAATTATTATTATTTAAAGAAAAGGTTCTGTCAGCTTTCTTTCTTTTTACACAAGTTGGGGTTGTGAAGTTGGGAAATTGTGAAACCTTCCACTATTTAGATGAAAATTATAAATGCATTTCAGTTTTATTATTTTAAATGTTTAAAGCACCACACCCATAAATTAAAAACTGCATTGTCAGCATGACCAATATTGAAAATAATGGTGATATATTCATTCATAGAGCAGAATCTAACAGGAACAAGTTCAATTTGATCTATAGAGAAACAGAAATGCATTTATGAGCCTAGAGATTCCTTTCAAGTTAAAATTCATTCAATTTTCATTGATTCAATGAGGATTACAACTTGTAGTACAGTCCTAGAACTGTAACCACACACCTTTGTAAAAGATAGAAATATATGTACAAACTTTCCCTACGGCGATTAGACAATTAGGCAAACAAGACGAGATATGAAATCGAAAGTCTGCCCGTTTTTAACGCGGAATGAAATGTAAAAAATATTTTGTGAAATTTTTAACCGTTTGTACACTAAGACCTCACATTCATTTGTATACGTGCATTACGGCGGATATTTACACATTTACGAACATTACACATAAACTTCTTAGAACACACTGTATTACCAAAATATTGCATTTCTATCGAAATAAGGGTCTTTCGTAAAGATATGGAGAATTTTACTACGATCAGAAAGATGAATAGGGTTTTGACACGAGATTTGTATGCATTCTATATCTTTTCGTTTGTAAACAAAGTCCGTAAATGTTCGTACACCGTGTCTTACTTGATAATATTCGAGTTCATTCATCGAGATTCTTCTCCTTCGTCTGATGATCGAAACGAAGATTTCCTTGACCTCGATCGATAATCGTCGGAAAGATCGGAATCTTGTGAATCTTTAAAGTTACTTTTTTCTTCTTCGTCTCCCACAACGTCGATTTGGATCTCGTGGTCGCCCGTTGACGAAGACTCGTGGCCGACCCCATCAATCAATTGCAGACCCACAGTTTTCGTCCTGTTAGTCAATAATTTTTGCAGCGAATCGTATTTTTTCCTTGCTTCGTCGCGTTCTCTCTTCAAGTTATCGTTCTCTTTGGCAAGCTGCTCTAAGTCTTCGCGGAGTTGTTGCCTTTCGACTTCGAGATCTTCCTTCTGACGCACGCGCTTGGTCCGACTATTTTGAGCGTAACCCCGATTCTTCAATGTTCTTCTTCGTTGTTTGATGCGATAAATCTCGTCGTCAGTGAAACCTCGTAGAATAGTATTTAAATCCTTCACCGGCAAGCTTACCAAAAGTTCATCGGTAAGGTTAACTTCTTTTTTACCTCCTTCCTCCTTCTTTACTCTCTTTACTATGGCGGGTTTCTCATCTTCCGCCATGATGCTTCCCCAGCATCCTTTGTTGTCTCGTCACGTAACAATGCTCCTTGCTTCCTGTTCCAAGAAAGCTTAGCATGGAACGCGCCGACGTGATCTCATTACGTAATCCATCTAAGTAGGCGTTAGGTATAAGCGACAAGGAATATGACAATTTACTACCAAAGATCCTCATCCAATTTTGAAGAACGAGAAAAAAAAGTTATTCATACCATTTTCACTGTGCAGTGTAAATTTTAAATGGGGCTGCAGTTCCCATTACACTTTTGTGGCTTCAGGGAAGACCACTTAAGGGTGGTGTTTGAGCAATGGTAATAGGGTAACAAAAAAAGTGCCAACCCAAGTAAAATCACAGCATAAAATTGGGCAAATTAAGCTTCAAGAAAAGAAGAAGACCATTACAATAAAATACAAGCTCAGAAAACTTGCTGCCCTACCCCCTCCCTCTAAAACAAAATAGTCTGTCCATCACCTATTTATATGTATCATTTTGGTGTGTATCAAGGAGCATCCTTTAACTGAGTGACTGACGTCTAATTTCACCATACAATATCACCCATGAATCACACATTAAGGTCACAGGAATAAAGGAAATCATCACCAAATAAAGAAGCTCTTGATCATCAAACAAATTCTCTTCATCAGCACCTTAGGAAACTTGTGGAGAACTGCTACGGAGAATGGGAATTCTAATGTTAGGGTGGAAGGGGAAAATGAAAAGAAGGAAAATGTAGCTGATTAAAAAAAGATCAATATGAGCCAAATAAATCTGAAATTTTTCTATTACAGTTTGTATGTGAGGATCAATTTGTTATTTCTTTCTTTAACCCTTTAACTCCCAAAATCTGATTGTCAATTCTCCCCTCTAGCTGCTACACATTTCCTTGTAAGTAAGTTACGAGAATTTGGTGTTAGATAGAGATAACAACTTCTACCTGATATCTTTGAAAATTATCATAACCTGTTTGCTGGATAATGTTTATATATTACAGGGAGAAGTTACATGTTAATCACTTTTGGGAGTTAAAGGGTTAAAGGTACTCTCTTTTCCCTTTCTTTCTCTTTGGGGTGAGGAGGGTGGGTGGGGGCAGCTATTTCTAAACTGTAGACTGCTACATTTCTGTTGCACCAAGGCTGCAATACCAACACAAATTTTACCATGGGGAGGTTGGGGCACCTTTTCAAAACTCTATACTGCAACATTTCTGTCGAACTAAGCCCAGAATACCAACATAAATTTTACCAGGGGTAGGAAGGGGCAGTTTTTTTAAAACTGTATACTGCTGCATTTCTGTTGACCCAAGCCCAGAATACCAATATAAATTTTACCTGTGAATCAGGTTATAACAAAGTTAAACTAGAAAAAGTGTAACAAAAACAAACCAAGGTAATCATAATATCACAAGAAGCAAAACAAGTTGCTTCTGCAGTCAACCCCTTTCACTCCCAGAAGAGATTAAAAAGTAACTTCTCCCTATTAAAATCTATACACCATCCAGCAAACAGCTTATGATAAATACTCAAACTTATCAGGTAGATGTTATTTTCTTGACCTAACCCCAAATTCTCTCAACTAATTTACAAGGATATGTGCTGCAGCTAGAAGGGAGAGTTAACAACCAGATCTTTGGAGTGAAAGGGTTAATTATGACTGAAAGTTTCATAACCACTTGGAAGTGAATTTTTACAAAGCCTCCCCAGATGACTACCTTAAGTAAATAGTTAAGTTTATTTAAACAATTTAAACTTTTTAAAATAACTTTGTATTTGTTGTTTCGGATAGGGTTTGGTTGCAAGACAGGTAGGAATGTTCTCTGGTTGTTCAATCCACAGTTTGTGATCAATTTCATCAGCGGATAGTTTCCCTGATAATTTCTCCAGTTCATCTTGACTAGGGGCCTGAGTGAGAAAAGAAAAAAAGGATGTTTCATTTGAGTCCAAAGCTATGGGTTTTACATGAAATTAGATAGGGTCATATGGAAGGAGAGATTTAATGATGTGGCATGATCATCTCCTGAGAGTAAGTCTTGAAAAGTACTGTCGTTGGTAGAAGTGATTTAGGTTTTTTACAAACTCAGTGGAAGTCATTATCAGAGTAACTTGTGCTCAAGTTGTCAAAAAATCGGTCACTGCTGCAGACAACAGTCCTTTTCAAGACTACTCTCACCCTTATGATCAGATTTTGCTACCCCATTCCAACCATTTACCGTAAGCCTTAGACCACATCCTTGACTGTAATGTGCTCTGTATATGTGCATGTATGTATATGCGCTTTGTAGGCACTTTTGTTTACTTAGCAGTGTTTGTGGAAACAAAATTTTTGCAGATCAAGAAGACAGACATTTCATCTGCGAAATAATTTTTGGTGTTTTCTGTTCAAGTAGCAGAGGAGTAGCACATCTAATTTTCAACTTTTCTTGTAAGGTATGTTATGCCATGTGATGTTATGTTTCTCTCTATTTAAATTTCAGAGACATACTGTAATTCCTTGAACAAGCCTGCATACTCTGATACCCTGAGCCATAATATCAAAGAAGAACCCCTCTAAAATAAGTACCCCCCTCCTGCTCCCTCACTTTCCTAAATGAGTATGGATACAAGGAAAACCTGGTTCTGATGCAACTTTATTTAAATTGGAATTTTCAGGCTTCAACTTCAGTGGAATCAAAAAAGATTAATAGTTTCTTGATAAGGGCTCAAATAATTTAAGTGGCCTTCCTTTAGGCTGAAATTTTTGCAGGTGCTTATTCAAGGAAATACAGTATCACTGCAGTATCTTACTGCAGGAACTGAAAAACAGCAAAACAAAACAGAAAGCCTGTCCTTACCATGGAAAATCATGTCAATGTTCTAGTTTGAGTCCATTTTATCTTGCCCACGGGGCACAAGTTTACCAGATCAGAAGCATTGTTTGAATATGACTGAAGAGAGTTCATTGCCATGCCATTTCAATTTGAGGGTTTTTTTATTAAGTGGGAACTAAAATCAATATGCAAAAATAAGAACCTGGAAAATTTTCATGCTCCATAGTAACTTAGGTGTGGAGGCACGGTGGCCTCATAGTTAGTGCGCTTGACTCCGGATTGGGTGGTCTGGATTCAAGCCCTGGCCAGGGTCATTATGTTGTCTTCTTAGGCAAGGCACTTTACTCTCACAGTGCTTCTCTTCACCCAGGTGTACAAATGGGTACCAGCAAATGTGCTGGGGGTAACCCTGCGATGGACTAGCATCCTATCCAGACGGGAGTAGCAATACTCCTAGCCACTTCATGCTAAGAAAACCGGAGTTAAGCACCGGCCACATGGGCCACTTGGGCTAGTGACTAGAATCTAATTTCTTCTTTACAGTATCACCTCCAAATCACACAGTAAGGTCATGGGGATAAAGGAAATGATCTCCAACTAAAGAGAAGTTCTTGATCATTAGACAAACTCTCCTTGTCAGCATCTTAGGAAATATATAGAGAACAGTGTATGGAGAATATGCATACTGATGTTAGGGTGTAAAGAGATAATTATGAAAAGCTTACCTCTAACACAACCTTGTGCATATTATCCAAGTCACTAGTATATTGGAGTGTGTTAGAATCATCACGATGCATCCACAGGGCAGCTGTGCTTGCATGACAAGCTTGTGCTATTACGGCTCCTATCGGCCATGACAGCAACCTCAGGAGATCACCTCTTACCACAACATACTGAACAAGCTGAGATGATGTTGATGACATTGAATGATCACAGGAGTCCTGCTGAATAAGGGATGATAGTTGAAAATTAATTTCAAGGCCTCATGTGATAATAACTGTTGCTAGATTCTATGATCTAAAGGTCAGCTCCCCAGACTGGAGAAGAAAAGTCCAGGTTTGAGCTAATCCGCAGTAGAGGCGTCGTATTAGGGTGAATTCACTGACTTTACAAGCTTGTTTTCATTTATTCATGTCTGATTTAGAGTCAGAGTGGATGGTGGGGGGAGGGGGCAGGGAAAGGTGTAATATTCAGTACACAACTTCTTCCACTATTCATCCTTTTGACCGTCACTCTCCCTCTTAATTCAAAGGTATTTCTTGCCCCAGCCTTCCCCTTTAGTAAAAATCAAAGATGACAGCTATAACTTTCACAGAGAAAATTCTAAGCACTCGTTTGCCAGGTTTGAGCACTTTGGGGTTCACTTGGGATCATTAGCGCACCAATAACTTGCACAGTAGTAATTTCATGGCGCAGTGGAAAGCTACACGCAAAACCTGATAAATACTGCCAGATTCCAGGAGCCTCCCGCTGAGAACACTGCCGATTATATTTATTAATGAATAAATTCACCTCTGTAACAATATCTGCAGGCTCAGTTTACAAATTTTTTATCCACATGGAACTCGACTACAATGCCATTGGAACCTTTGTCCAAAACTATGTTTTGGAAGTAGTGCGCTTACGAAGCCTGAACTAATTTTGATTAGTAAATAAATAACTTACTGCCCAACAGAAAGTCAGATTGCTTCTCTTACCGATGTGGTTCTGGATAATAGAAGAAGTTAGTGTATCAAACCGATCTTGCAAGTGTCTGACAAGTTACTGTGCGGTCCAATTCGATCCCAGGTTCCTTTCGTCCTCTTAATTAAGGCATGCGCAGTTGATCCATACTGAAGCGCGCGCAAAATTCTAATTCCCATCGTCCCTCTCGTGTGTGGTAAGTGAGGATAGAGGAAGTAGCTCCAAAGTCGCAGACTTCCTGAGTGAATGTCTGAAACGTTTTGCTGCTGAAGGGGAAAGGGAGAAAGGGGCTACTGAAAGGTAAGTTGGATTCGATGGATTGGAAGTAAAAAATATCTTCACGATGAGGTACCACACATCGCCTTGGAGACTGCTTTCGTGAAATTGGTTTGTGTCCTGACGGGAATGGAACAGAGAAGTACGTTCGGGAGGGAAAACAGAAGATTGTGTATGGGAATAGGGGGGACAGTTATCCCCGTCTCTCTTTCTCTCTCGCCTGCTTCCTGTCCCCTCTCCATCACGATGAGAACATCCTGTCTCCGTTAGAGCCGCTACTGAAGGACAGGGGATATTCAAGAAAAAAAAATTGTGGAGACAATCAACATGAATTCTTTCACAATATTGCATTTCTTAAATCTTTCCTGTCAAAGAAGATTTCGAGCCTAACAGCAACTTGATTTATGGAAACGAATTCATATTATGCGGTCTGTGGGTAATAAGTGGCAAGTTATCCTCTGAGGAAAAAAAAAAAAGAGTTTATGTTCTTGGATATAAATATATTTTGGCCTTTCTCAAAGTCATTTTAACCTTCACCTGGCGGCTCTGAATCGGGCCTAAAAAACATATGTATGCCCACGAACACACACTCCTTTGTCTTATTCTGAGAGAGCTCCTTCGTTAATTTATGCATAGAAGCTATAATTTATGAGAAAACGTCATGAGTTTCCACGGCGATGCCAGGACCCCCCGCATCCTCGAGGTTGAAGCACGCCCGCTCATTACGCTCTCGTTTGTGTCCAGCCATATTGGTAAGTTAGCGACAAGATTTGCAAAACCCGGCAGATTTTAGTCGGATTGCGGCTCTAATCACGATGACGACAGAAGATAAAGTAGAGAAAGCAAAGCTCGCTGAGCAAATGGAGAGGTACGACGACATGGCAAAGTTAATGAAGGAGGCAACAGAGAGCAAAAAAGGTGACAAAGTAGATCTTACAAGTGAAGAAAGAAATCTACTTTCTGTAGCTTACAAGAATGTGGTCGGAGCGAGACGCGCTTCTTGGAGGGTTGTGTCAGCTTTGGAGCAGAAACATGAAGGAACTGAAGACAAAAAGCTGGCTATTGAAGAGTATAGGAAGAAAATCGAGAAGGAATTAATAGATATCTGCGATGTTGTCCTGGTGAGTCCACCACCCTTCCTTGGTGTCTGAACGTACTCGTCCTTCACGGAAGTTATTGTAATTCCTCAGTGCTAATTTTTATGGTTCAAAGTGATTTATTTTTTGTACTTGAGTTTCAGTTTCAACCAAAATCTCTCTCAACAGGATCTTCTGGAACAGTTTCTGATAAAAAAATCAGATGATCCTGACACAGACCAAAGTAATGGAGCAGAAGGCCAGATTTTCTATCTGAAGATGAAAGGAGATTACTTAAGGTACAAAGCAGAAGTGGCATCGAGCCCAAGCAAGGATGGTTAGTATTTCTCTATAAATTTTCGTTATATCATGATCAATCTTACTTTCAAACTTAATTGCTCTAAGCATGGACGTTTTTAACTCGTCACCTCCGATGTTCAAGTTCGCAAATCCAATTCGATGTAAGGTCGGCTCTCTACTACGGTTACGGATTTACAGAAACCATCTATCTGTAACGATTCAGAACTCTTTAAACTAAGGCTTAAATCGATTATTCTTGTTTTCCTGGAAGAGTTGTATCCTTGTCGGGAGATCCATTCAATAGGAATCAATTAGTGATATCAATCATAAATCGATAAGATTCAATAGTAGTTCACTGATTCTTACTGGCTGGTCATCTTACCAATGAAATTTGATGATCAATGAAAGAAATACCTTGACTTTACTTGGTTGTTTTTGTTCTATATTGATAATCTTTGGTGGGTTATGCATCAGTCAAAATCAAGTATATTTGCTAGACAAGTGATGATCTTGGATTAGTAAAGTGCACTATAGATAGTCTAGGAAGGGGCATTTTCTTGGCAGGAATTCCAGGGTATAATTAAACCTGGGAGCATCAAACAATGGCTTGGCTTACAGTTCTGATTTGTAGTAACTCATGTTATTTGATTAAATGGGTGCAATTTATCAAAATATCTTTCTAAGGCATCCAGAGGGAGGTGAATCATCTCCAAGGACTTCACTTAGCCAGTGTGATTCAAAGCTCTTGCATGAAACTAAGGTAGATAGATACCTGCATGAGAGCAAGGCTGTTTCAGCAAGTCTAAGATGCTGTCAAAAAAGAAAATACAAGACTGGAAAATTATATGAATAGTATGTTTTCTCCTACATTAAACACAATTAAGAAATTTACCCAAGTGAGTAGGCATTTGATATGGTACAAAATGCAAATTAAGTTAATACTGATTTCGTTTTTAATTCTGAAAATGGCTGAAATTAGTTGATGGCTGCCATTAAAATCACGAAACCAAGAAACTGTCCTCTGGGATGAATAAAACCTTTATTTTTTTCAAAAACTGGAATTAAAAAAGGCAAATGTTGCTGTACAAAATATTTTTTACTGCACAAGAAATGGTTACACTCTGAACAAAATAAAAAATAAAAACATGCTTTTGAAGAAAAAAAACATGAAATATGGCACTGTTAGGGATGGATCCAAAGATATCTTTGTCAAGAGGAGAAGAGCTATCCATTTTACCAAGTGTGCAGACCTTGCTTTTCTTTAACAGGGTTAGATAGCAATTTAAGAGGACTCGACACCTTAGCCTGTATAATTGAAAAGGGATCATAGGTAGTCAGGATGGCAGCGGCAAGGAAGACATCAATTGAAAAATGAATTTTAGTGAGAACTTGCAAATGGCTGGATGTGCTTACCCCTCTTTTCCATTTGGAAACTAAAAAAATTTACAGTCAGGGTTTATGCTCTCAGACCCTGCAAGTTTTGATGAGTATATGTTGTTGATTTGTAGAGGACCACCAAGAATTCTGCAAAGTTTTAGAATGCATGTGCTTAGCTATTGTTCTGCCTATTAGGTCTTCTGTTTTTCTAGGTGTTCGTGTTGCCGCCATGGTTTGCTTAAGGTCTCTTTTTTTTTAGCTCAGAGTAACTGGTGGTAAATTGGTGGCACAAACTCACAGAAATGTGTTGTGAAATACCAACTGTTAATGCAGCTATCATTGCTTTTCCTGCCAAAATGACATTCATGCTTACTTTTCTCAGATAAACTAATGTGATAAAGGATGTCTCGTGCAATACAGCTTTTAAACTATACACTTTAGGCATTAAAAATGCCACAGCTTTCTATGTGACTACTGAACATTTGCACCTTTTCTTGTAAATTTAATCACAAAAATTTCTTTCTACTAATCTTGGTGAGCAAAACAATTGCAGCTTGGAAAGCTGAACATCCTTTACCAGAATGTTGAAGAGGTTTGCAACCTAATTGGGGGAGATTTGAAAGGGCCCTTTCCTTTTCAAGGGTCTTGGTGCACTGATGTACCTAATTTTTAAAACAAATATGAGTAATATTTTTAATGTCTTCCTTTTGTAATATAATTAACAATTTTTTATTTTTATTTTTAGAAATAATTGAACAGTCTGAATTATCATACAAGAAAGCACTGGACTTAAGTAATAAAGAGCTAGCTCCAACTCATCCTATCAGGCTTGGATTGGCACTTAATTTCTCTGTCTTCTATTATGAAATAAAGAACGCGCCAGACCAAGCATGTAAATTGGCAAAAAAGGTTGGTGTATGAGCAGAACTACAGAGTTCAACAGTACCAATAAATATGTAAATATAATTTTCATATATTCACAGTTATTTATTCATCACTTTACAAGTTTCTTACAAACCAATACAATGACCAGCTCCTAGTTGACTTGTTAGCTCAGTTGGTAGGGTACTGCACTGGTATTACAGGGGTCATGGGTACAAATCCCATACAGGCTTGGGCTTTATTTTCACCACTGCTTAAGTAGTGTTCATTGCTGCATAGCTTCCTTTTGTATTCATTAATTAATCCACAGTTCACACATATGATTTCCATATATCCATGGTCAGTATTGATAAACTACTTACAACAACCTGATCACAGGACTTTACTTACTATTAACTACTCACAATACAGAAATCACAAAATGATGCTAATAATATTTTTTAGTATATACTAGAACAGTGGATTTTGCTGAAGGTACACCCCAGCCAGACAAGGTTCAAATTCCCCACCCCCTGGGCACATACAAGGATTAAATGCCTGTAGGTTGAAGGGGGGGAGGGGTGTTGAACCTTAAAATTGATTGGTGTGTAATGTCTGTGGCATAGGGAGAGTCGAAAAATTAACTGTTTGGCAGAAGTAAAACTTTAGGGGAAAATGGGAAAGACAATTTTTGACAGGGGTCTTTGAAGGATAAATTTCTCAAAAAATGAATACTAGGCTCCTTTAATTAAAGAATGTTTTTGCACATAAGCAAAAGCTTAGATTTCTTGCCCATCAAGTGGTGTGAAATCATCTTTGTTAAGAGACCTTTTAAGTGATTTAAACAATAGCTAAGCAGCTGAATGTTACTTGGCTTGGAATCTCCATTCCACAAAGCTGTTTATAGTTTCACTGATGGCCAGTCACTTCAGCAGCAATCAATCCACCAAGAGTAAGAAACTTGCTTCTTGTGTCCAGTGCCCTGCTACATACCACTTAGTGAATGAACTAGAGTTTTCCTCTGAAGCAACAAATGTAGAGCAACTTTCTAAAGACTTCACTTGTGATGTCCTGATTTCCTTCAAAAACTTCTTTCTCCAAAATTTGAGTTGCCAAACTCAAGGTTTGGCTTATCTGCCAGTGGCACTCATCTGTCAGTGTTTGCAGTAATAATAATAAAAGGGTGTTCTCAGAAACAAAAAACTAAGTTGGCTTCTTTCAGAAGTGTAAACCATGGAATGTACCTCTCTCAGCATCATCATGATTTGGTTTATTTGTTTATTTTAGGCATTTGATGATTCAATTTCTGAGCTTGATACACTAAAAGAGGATTCCTACAAAGACAGCACTCTTATAATGCAACTATTGCGTGACAACTTAACCGTAAGTGTTCATTTGGTGAACCCTTTACACCCTAAAGTTAGTTTGCATATTCTCCTTACTGTTCTCTATACATTTCCTATGGATACAATAAGAAATTAATATAGAACAGTGTGGAGAATATCCATACTGATGTTAAGGTGTAAAGTGTTGAACAGAGGGTGCACTCTCTCTCCGGTGCCTCTGAGGTTTTAAGTCTGGGGTGGAATAAGGTTGGGTTTTTAGTGTGGAAAAAGATAAAAACCATTTGTTATAGTGTACTGGAATGAAGAAAATAATTTGAAGAAATGATTATCGTTATCTTTTTCCTTTTTTTACATTCGTTAAACTGCGATTTAAATTTAGGTCCTGTAAAATGTAGTAAAAAACCAAGCAAAGTGAATAGGTTGTTGTGGATTGCAAATCTTGTGAATTGAACCCTAACTCAAAACAGGTTTAGTATCATTATGCAGGTGGTTAAGGAAATTCTCATGCTCTGATTGGTCCAGGATTATGTTAATTTTGCATGATCACCTTGCAAGAGGTGACTAGGAGGGGCACTGAATTTCGAAATGGCTGCTTTGCATTTTATCAGTGTTACAGAGAAAGTAATAAACACAATAGTAGAAAATTCAGTTCCAAAGAATACCAAAGATTGGTGCAATATACTTTTCAAAAGCTGGATGTGAATTTTTGTTCATTACGGTAAATTCCATAAACTTGCTAAATTCTTTTTTTTTTCTTTCTAAATTAAAAGTAGTGGCTCATTTCAATACAAGCAAAGAAACAATATGTTTGGAGCAGAATGGTTTTTAAAAGCAACAAATTTACAACAGTTTGCGACCTGTTACATTCTGCCCTTCATTTTATTTCTTACAGCTGTGGACTTCAACCTCAGGGGATGATGAAGATGAAGATGAAAAGCAGTGAAGCTGTTGCATCAGTGCACAGCCAGTTTCCTCACTTTGAAACTGTGTCCCTTTCATATTAATCTGAATGTCCATTTGTGTGTTACAGGTGCTGCTTATCCTTATTTTTTGTGCCTAAAACAAATCCAAATCATTGATGAGAATTGAAAAATGTTTCCCCATGATCACACCTATCTGCAGTGTCATTCTACTGTAGATAAGCCGCAAGTTTTGTACCAGAACTGGGCATGAAATGGTAGCTTCCTTATAAACGAGATCCTGTACTTTTTTTAGGGTAAATGTTTGCAATTCCATAGATGGCTTGTGATGCGTTAATAAATCATCTTCTGAAGGGTTTGTTATTGGGTGCACAGAGTCAATGAAATGGGGATAATTTTGTTTGATTTGTTATGTTGTGATGGTGACAGTATCCAGCGAAAAAGTTCTGAAGCAAAGTGTAATTTTCCATTCAATATAACCAATTTGTTAACCATTAAATGTAAGTTATGCCATTTTCGTTTTGCTTCTTGTGTTTTATCGCAATGATATTACTTGAACTCCTAATGTGTGGTTGTAAATTCTCCCCTCAAGGTGCTCTTCATTTCCTTTTAAATTAGTGACAAGAATTAGATCACCCTAACAACTTCTGCCCAATAACTTTGAGTATTCTTGTAGCTTGTTGTTGGATGTATCTGGATGATGCAAGGAGAAATTACGTGTTAATCACTCCTGGGAGTGAAAGGGTCGAAGTTTCTTAACCCTTTAGCTCCTACGAGTGACTAGCATCTAATTTCTCCTCACAATATTATTCTTTAATCGAACGTGAAAGTGATGAGAACAGGGGAGGTAATATGCTGGAAAGATGGCATTCCCGGTTCAAATGCCCCACCCCACCCAGGCAGGGTTCAAATTTCCCATCCTGGACATGGCGGATAGCCAAATTCTCTTGGGTTGCCTGTAGGGGGGATGTTGAAGCTTCGAATTAATCTGCGTACTATACACGAACAGGGCTGATGCACCAACGGAATTTGAGGATGAAGTTAGAGGTCCCGAGGGGATTAGAGAAATAGCAGCCACGCCTTCAAATGGCCGAAAAGATAATCTGACAATCGTCAAAGAATGTTAAACTTCTAACCAACCTTCTATAATCGCCGTCAAATTCCCTGTGAATTTTTTCCTAAGAGCTAAAATGAAGTCTTTTTGGCATTAAACAAAAATGTTGTCCTGGGTTGAGGTGGATTTTAACTAGAGTGCAGTGCACGGCTTATTGCTTAAATTCTTTCCTTTTAAATGTTTCATTTTCCCCCAATTTAGAAAATAATGATCAAATAACTTCAGTAAGTACTGTTCAGTTTTTCTCTCTACCAACAAGGGAGGTCTATTTTCCGTCTCCAGCCTTCGCGGATCAGCCGCTAGTGTCCACTGGCAGGCTGGCATCCTCATAACATTTCAAAGCCTGCACAAAACCGCCAGCCGCGCAGGTCACCCACAGGGAGCGCGAGCTGTCCGTAGGCTTGTCCTGATTGTGCTCGGCAGCTTTTCAGCAACTTTCGGCATTTGGAGCCACTTTGAGCAATTTTTTGCCTTTGTGAGCAATTTTTGAGCCAAATATAGGTGTTTAGAGCACGTATAAAGCGTAGAAAAGTAAACGATTTCATAAAAAATGAACACATTAATTAAGTTTCACTTGACAACGTTTCATATTCCTATTGCGATCTTTATCTAATATTATAGAGGATAATTGGCTGAAACGACGTTGGGTAAGACGTCAAATGAAACTTGTGTTTTGTTCCGTAAGACTCTAGAGCTATTTTTCTTCATCGACGTTAGCAACTATTGTGAATAACGAAGAATAAAGCCTAAATGTAATGTTTACACAAAAATAATAAGAAATCTAGGTAGTAACTTATGAAAATTAGGTGGTAACGTTTTGGATTTTGGAATTTTCTGCAACTTTTTGGCACTCTAGTAAGCAACTTTCCAGCATTATACGAGCACACTCGGGACACGCCCAACTACAGAGTCTTATGGGGGATCAGGTAAATGTTTTTGTGACACAAACAAAATTCTCCCACTGAAAGTATCTACTCCTCACTTGGTCGGGATAACCTTTCCGACGCCTTATAGCCATTTTTTGCCCATATAACCATAGCAGTATCGTCACTGAAGGACGCATGCGAGACTAACCCTCGGCCTATGGCTGTATTTCAAAACCAAGATATAAGAATTTCGTCAAATACAATCAAAGAATAGGAAACTTCCGTACTCAATGCGACCTCAAATAATGGAGATTACTCACTTTAACCCTGTAACCCTGTAAAATTTAACGCTTTTTTTCTCCCTTCTTCTTATTTCACAGTCAGGTGGTAGTACATATTGGACATATTAATTGCCTGCGTTGCTGACCATGGTGGTTTTGTGCGATGAGCTACGCTACTCGTTTTCACGGCTCCGTCGCTTGGTGCTCAAAATCTAGCCACGCCCCTCCAGTTTGCGTTGGTTCACGGCCAAGCGGTTGTTACAATTCACTTATAGTTATACGGTAGGATCTGGGTACGAGATTACGTTGATACCGACAAGGAGAGTTCGTTTAAAGCTTCCTAAGTTGGCGATCATTTTCTCTATTCTCATGATATTAATAAATGATTCAGTAGTATTACTGTAATGAGAAATTAGATGCTGGTCACTCTTTGGTTTTAAAGGGTTAAACTGATGAGACGCAGCGTGAAAACAATTCATAGTAGTTATGTAGGCTTAAGATTATGAGAAATACGAATTGAAAAGTTAGCTCTTTGATGTACTCTACAATTTAATAGTATTTATACAATAGCCTGGTTTTGATATTTTACAAATTGGTAGGAATTAAGATATAGGTCTCAGCATTAACCTGTCAGAATAGACAAGAGAAGTTGTGGAATCTTTTTCCATAGCCTTGCAGTAAGTTCTATTGACGCTTAATACACGTCATTAATTTGTACAATATTGCTAGCGTGATTATCTATAAGAGTGTGAAAAAACGTTTTTTACATTTACTGCGATTTTCAGTATCTAGAAATTCTGATAATGCAAACTTCATGCTTATTCAAGCCATAAAACTCGCGCCACTTCTAAACCAATCAGATCAAACTAGAGCCGACGCAATTTGGTCACACGCGTTTTCCCGCGCTGTGAGCGGTTTGTCTCCTTCGCCCTGATTAGCCATTTTAGATTACGTTAGTTTTGTTTTTACGACTCTCAATCGAAAAGTGCCATCCCTCAAATTTATTTGCTACTTCTCTGGGGTTTAAACTTGACTCAATAGATTGTGCTCCATACGATGAAGTCTGAAAATTTTAAAGATTAAGATTCTTAGAAGCATGTAATTCTGTTGTTCCCATGGGTTCACCTACATTTTTACGAAGAAATCATGGGGTTTTTTTCATTGTTCAATCTTAGCAGAAGGTGGTGCAAGTTTTTTTCACTAAGTTTCAGTAGATTACAGTTCACGTCAATTCTTAAAAATATGACAAAGAGGAAATTAATATTAATATATCACCGTATCTTTAGAGTGGAAATGCTCGGCTTTTACCATGATCAAGGCTCGCTTGTGGAAAGAAACATTTCTTCCCATGAAAAACAACCCTCCCGTTAAATATTACCCGCTCGGTGCATCTGGGCTAGGAACACGTGATATGTGTATAGTCTCTTGGTCCTCGTCTTCGGAAAACCCTGAAGCGCCGTCGCTTCCACGAGGCGACGAAGGCTCTTGTTTCTCGGGTGGATACCTTACGAGGGAAATCTGCTTTTCGAACCCATCCGGAGTAGTTACGAGATAGGTCGTCGGTATGACGGGCAAGCTCGATTGGCGGCGAAGTTTATTCCGGAGTTTCTCGGTCCAGCTACCATTTGAAACTCGGGACTGTCTTCGAAAAACCTTCGGGTTTTCAGCTGGCTTCGGTGGCGGTGGCGATGGCTTCGTTTCCTCTCGAGCGCTTTCCGAAGATGACACCGAGGAGGCCCTCAGCTGAATTTTTGGTTCCATTTGCGGTGGCACTTTGTTGTTGTCCGGTTTAGTTGTCCAATTACCATGATGAAGAATTTCTGCTTTTTTAGGCTTTTTTACAACTTGTGGAATTGGAATTTGGATGGTGGCGGGCTGGAGAGGTGTCCTATTCCTGGGCACTGTTGTTTTGGCACTTGAAGTTCCAAACGGCAAATGATCGTACGTGTTGCTACGGCGTAGAAGAGAGCCCGTGCTCGATGCTCGCTGGAGTTTTGGCGGTGGAGAAACATTTGTGAAAATAAACCCGCACTTTGGACATTTCGTTGGTGAGTTCGTTTTGTCTTGCCGCTGTTTATTCACCATGGAGGCATTCTCGTTCGATCGCTGAAGAAATGCTTTTTCGTTCTCGCGTTGCGCACATGCTCTGGTCACTTTATGGACGAGCCTTTCGATGCAAGATTTGTGAAAATCTGGCCCGTAAACCATGGAATGTCTAAAATCAGCGATCAAATGTTCGGCGAGCGACGACGCTGTTTTTTCAGCCGTCCGCTTGCTGTCAAGTACTGACTCGCCGCTGTTATCGACGATTTCCGTCCGGTAATATTGCTCTGGTAAAGAGTTCCGTATAAAATAATTCGTCAATCGCATTCCCACCACGGGAATTTTGTACGATTTGGCGAGTCCGTACTGATTCAGAAAATAGCTGTCTTCCAGAGTCTTTTTACTGAAAATGAACACGAAAACACTCGCGCAAGGAATTATTTGGAAAAGCTCCGCTGAATTTTCTTGTCTTGGGTCAAGAAAATCCGTGACGGGATGCGTTCTTATTGCCCAAGTAGTTACTAAATTTCTGATGACTATGTCCCTGAGCGAAGGACCTCCAGGCGTGTTTAAGTTCGCTTCACCGCAGACATAAATCAGCGAATCACCTTGGAAGTTGTTTTTCGGCGTCGACATGGTTTTCACGAACTACATAAGTCAATTCTTATCTCCTATTCACTCACGGACACCGGTGCTTCTTTTCCAAATAGTTACTACTTAAATTACATTTCCCGTCGTAATTGCTAAAATCTTCGGCGTGTTAATAAAATTTGTTTAGACTCGTTGCTAAGTCCAAGCTCGTTCTTTTTAAAGTGTTTTTGAGTCGACGGCGATCGATGAAGGTTTCAGAGAACAGGTGTTCGCTCCCGGTAGGTGAGTGACGATGGCTCGATCCAAGCTATAATCCTCTTCTAAACATATGCAGATCTAATTGTGAAGGTTTGTTTTATGATCTGTACGTTATTTTCCTTCGTAAAGCGTTCAGTTCTTGCGTTTATTCCCTTAGCTTGCTTCGCAGAAACGTTCTGGTGAAAATTAAAAGCTCAGAGATTGATATTTTCATTTCTGTCTGAAAAGGACATGAACAACTTTTGTCTCCGAAGGTTTGTAAAATTCTTTTATATGGCTCCTGAATTAAAATAATAAATTTCCGATGCCTGTCTTTTTGTGTTCATTTTTACCAAATTTAAATTTCAAAATTTCGCTTCA